CTCCAACTATTCAAATGTAATGTCAATCGACATCTCCAGTTACCTTGATCTATCCACTATCCTTCTCCTCATCCTTTCTTCTATCACTCCTATCTGCTCTCGCTCCAAATCTTCTGCAACCCCCTTGCATCCTAGTGGCTTCCCGCTTTGCTCGGGGCGTAATGCTTAAAATAAATAAATAAATGAATTATAAACTATAAGCGAGAACATAATTGGTAACATAAAAGAAAACGTTTTTGAACATTTTGAATAGAAAAGTCAAATATGATTTTGACTTTCAATCAAATACTTCTTATTTTTTCATATGTGAGGATTTTAACATAAAAATATTGGCGTATACAGAGTAAAATAATGTTTAAATTTCTTAAATGAAGCATTATCAATTTATTTTTTACTAGTATTTCTTTCTTCCTCATGGCAGTTATTAACGACATAGCTAGTCATTTTGGGAGACTTTAAAGTATTTTTCAGCGCGCCCACGTCGCTACCAAATCTGACACATGGTCGAAGTTTAAAGTGGTTTTCACGACAACACCATGGAAAAATTACACACACACACACACACACACCCTCGGCACCTCTACTTTTGGAGAGGCCTCAGGCGTCGGGCAATAAACCCAGCCCCCTTCCGAAGGTGCTTGGGGGAAAAGGACCCCTGAGGCTTGGGCTTAATATTTTTTATGTATACATGGCATGTGTAGTATAATGTAAGCAAGCTTTTTTCGCTAGAATATTTACGACTGAGTAGTAGAGTTCAATCACCATTGAGTGCTCAAAACTTTCGGCCTTATGCCACATCTAAGCTACGCTTAGTAAATTGCTATATTTCGGGCACTTCGACATGGTGTAATGGTTAGCAAGTTTATTTCGCTAGATCAATTATGGCTGAGTAGTGAGTTTGATCCTCACTGGGTGCTCAATACATTCGGCCTTGTGCCACATCTAAGCTATGCTTGATAAATCGCTATATAAGCTAGTCTTTATTTCTCCAAAGGCTTATAAGTTTTATTATTTAAATGAAGCATTGTCCATTATTAATTTTTATTAATATTTCTTTTATATGAATACAAAATGAAAGAAAATCTATTCAAAAATTAATAATAATTAACAATACCTTATTTAGGAAAATCATAACAACATCACTAGTAATACTACTAGTTTATTAAAAGAGAATAGATAAATGGTTAGATGTGAACGTCTGCAGACAGTAGTTTCTGTAGCCTAATCAGTAAGGCAGCTGTCACATTAAAACAAACTCATAATAAAAAAATACTACCTCAAGGTTTGCCTGAGGCTAATGCTTTTTTTTATCTCTGATCAACTCTGCTTACAAACAATTGTGAAGTCATGATCTTAGAGTTTTGATAAATAGCAACTGTAATTAAGATGACAGAAATACTAGTAAAAAAAAAAAAAAAAAAAAAGAATAATAATTCTTACCAGATTCTTCACCATTTTCTTTCAGTTAAACCAGAACCATACATGTGTCTATTGGGATACAATAAGTAAGTAAGAGCAGTTTTTCTTCTTTGTTTTTAGGTCAAATGCTAAACAATTCATTTTTTAACATTGGTCATCATTAGATTTCTTTGTTTAACATTCGTTTTTTAAGAATCTCAGCTGTACGCAAATTATAACTTTTTATATCTCCATGATGTTTTCTTTTTTTTTTCTTTTTTTTTTTATTTCAACCCAAGCAAGGGTAAAATGCTAAGGCGCTAGCGGTTACGGATAGTGAAAGAGAATAAGAAGACTTTAATGAGGAGAAAAGACAATAAAAGAACAGGTTTCAGGAAGACAGAAGATGGCGATAATTCCACTAAGACGGAAGGGATTACTGGGAGTGAAAGAGAGTGGGAAGACTTTAGTGAAGAGAAAAGACAATAAAAACAGGGTTCAGGAAGACAGAAGATGGCGATAATTCCACTAAGACGGAAGGGATTACTGGGAGTGAAAGAGAGGGGAAGACTTTAGTGAAGAGAAAAGACAATAAAAAACAGGGTTCAGGAAGACAGAAGATGGCGATAATTCCACTAAGACGGAAGGGATTACTGGGAGTGAAAGAGAGTGGGAAGACTTTAGTGAAGAGAAAAGACAATAAAAGAACAGGTTTCAGGAAGACAGAAGATGGCGATAATTCCACTAAGACGGAAGGGATTACTGGGAGTGAAAGAGAGTGGGAAGACTTTAGTGAAGAGAAAAGACAATAAAAAACAGGGTTCAGGAAGACAGAAGATGGCGATAATTCCACTAAGACGGAAGGGATTACTGGGAGTGAAAGAGAGTGGGAAGACTTTAGTGAAGAGAAAAGACAATAAAAAAACAGGGTTCAGGAAGACAGAAGATGGCGATAATTCCACTAAGACAGGAGGGATTACTGGGAGTGAAAGAGAGTGGGAAGACTTTAGTGAAGAGAAAAGACAATAAAAAACAGGGTTCAGGAAGACAGAAGATGGCGATAATTCCACTAAGACGGAAGGATTACTGGGGAGTGAAAGAGAGTGGGAAGACTTTAGTGAAGAAAAGACAATAAAAAACAGGGTTCAGGAAGACAGAAGATGGCGATAATTCCACTAAGACGGAAGGGATTACTGGGAGTGAAAGAGAGTGGGAAGACTTTAGTGAGGAGAAAAGACAATAAAAGAACAGGGTTCAGGAAGACAGAAGATGGCGATAATTCCACTAAGACGGAAGGGATTACTGGGAGTGAAAGAGAGTGGGAAGACTTTAGTGAAGAGAAAAGACAATAAAAAACAGGGTTCAGGAAGACAGAAGATGGCGATAATTCCACTAAGACGGAAGGGATTACTGGGAGTGAAAGAGAGTGGGAAGACTTTAGTGAAGAGAAAAGACAATAAAAAACAGGGTTCAAGAAGACAGAAGATGGCGATAATTCCACTAAGACGGAAGGGATTACTGGGAGTGAAAGAGAGTGGGAAGACTTTAGTGAAGAGAAAAGACAATAAAAACAGGGTTCAGGAAGACAGAAGATGGCGATAATTCCACTAAGACGGAAGGATTACTGGGAGTGAAAGAGAGTGGGAAGACTTTAGTGAAGAGAAAAGACAATAAAAAACAGGGTTCAGGAAGACAGAAGATGGCGATAATTCCACTAAGACGGAAGGGATTACTGGGAGTGAAAGAGAGTGGGAAGACTTTAGTGAAGAGAAAAGACAATAAAAAACAGGGTTCAGGAAGACAGAAGATGGCGATAATTCCACTAAGACGGAAGGGATTACTGGGAGTGAAAGAGAGGGGAAGACTTTAGTGAAGAGAAAAGACAATAAAAACAGGGTTCAGGAAGACAGAAGATGGCGATAATTCCACTAAGACGGAAGGGATTACTGGGAGTGAAAGAGAGTGGGAAGACTTTAGTGAAGAGAAAAGACAATAAAAAACAGGGTTCAGGAAGACAGAAGATGGCGATTTGACGTTGAGAAGAGCAAGAAATCGGAAAGTGTTCCATTGACAGTAAATGCGAGAAAATAAACTTTTAGAATAGAATGGTTATATCTATCTAGCTAATTCAACAGTAAAATGATGAGACCTACCAGCCAATCTAGTAGTACGCTTAAATTCATGCGGTCAAGGTACCAGGGAAGAGAGCTCATTAGAACAATGGCTATGAAATTATTTATAAAAAACACAGGGAGGCGGGAAAGGGACTGAAGTCGATATGCCAGGTCAGTTATGTATCTACGAATTATTTAATAGAATATATATATATATTAAAAAATACAGGTTAGATTATGTAGAACAGATAGAATGTTTATTGAATCTTTTATTTAAAAAAAATTAGTAGGAATACAGTGGGTTTGTGTTATTTGTATTGCATTTTGCATAGACAGATATCAGGACTATCTTCCCAAGAGAGATGTATCATAACTAATATAAGTTGATGGATTTTTATCAACAGGCCAGTCTCCCAAATGACACGGAAATTGATATACAACATTGAAAGAAAACGAGTACACATTCTGGATGTCTTTACATTAAATCCACTATTAATAAAAATTGTTTCAATATACGTTCTCACGCCGTAAAATGACACGTAATAATGTAGTTGCCACTTGACACTCAGCTCAAGATCATAACAACCCCTGTTGATTTCAAACCATATTGGACATTTCTGGATTTTCAATATTCTTTCATTGAAAATGGCCAAAGATGATCGAAATAAAACAAGAACAGTCAACCCAAAAGTCTCAAGTAATATTCTCTCCCTCTCCTATTTAATAAGATAAGTTTAAATAAAGCATTGCTACCTAAATATATTACGTTTAATATATCCATGTATGTATGTGGGACGATTATTTGCAATTGTAGCTTTGGAAAATGTTATTAGACTCCTGATTTTAAATGAAACGAAACTTTCACTGCAAATGAAAAAAGTCCAACATCTGCAGTTACGCCCTTCTTCACATACCCCCAGAATGCGAAAATATGTAGACACGTATCACATTCGAGCCGATATAAATACAATTATTTTAATGAAGAGAAAAGTGATCCTTGTTTTGTAATGTTAAACAACGCCTTTAGTGTAGCTAAAAGAGTAGAAGATCAGATTGATGGTATGAAGGAGCAAACATTTGTTTGTCAGCCATTTTGAATATTATTTATTCTTAGGTTTTTGTAAGCAAAAGCAAATTGGATTTTAAATCCACTCCACCTGCCTTGTTTGTTAGAAGTGATTCGTCATTAAAAAAATATTGTAAAATTCTAATTTCTTTCCTATCGAAAATCTAAGTTCGCAAGCTGTGGAAAAAAATTATAGATAGATATATATATATATAAAGAATTAATGGGTTTCATTTAAAATCCGACATATTTTAATGATTTCAGACGTTATTTTTAGTGGATACTCGTATTTGAGTAGACTGATAGACAAAATAATGTTTAAAAAAGGAACAAAAGTTAAATATAGCTATCCACTAAAATAATGTTTGAAGTAATAAAAAATGGTCGGATTAAAAAATAAAATCCATTAATTATTTAGAAATTGCTTTGTTTCAGAACAAAACAAATCTAAGCAGATATGGCTTTCGGGAAAAACCGAACGAGTGAATGTGATTTAATGCAAATAATACTTTGCTTGATTGTGAAATTCTCCATAGTTGAGTGGTCAAAGGACGCCGGATTAAACGCTGGCTCCTCTTGCACAGGGGGAGGCAGGTTCGAATCTTGTCTGAGGGTACAATATCCTTATTAAGTTTTCTAGAGTAGACGAAATAAACACTATTTAAGAAAAAACGGAGCCTCTTCTCAAATACGGGAATACACTAAAATAATGTTTGAAGTAATACATATATATATATATATATATATATATATATATATATATATATATATATATATGTATAATGCTGTTTCCTTCAGGTCATAGGCAACCACGTTTTCTACTTATTCTGTTTCTTCATTGTCTATGGATTACCACTTCTTAAGAAAGATAGTGGAGTGGTTTCTCGTTGCCTTCTCCAGAGAAGTCCTTTTTTCTAGACTGGGTGCCACCCTGGATCTGAGACCAGTTTATGCTGCTATTTAACTCATAGTTGGGGGGGAGCAGTGATGGATTTGTACCATTCCCAAGGACATCTATACTGAAGTCAATGCAGCAGATTTTGCAAGAATTCGAACCTAGCTCTCTGATTTCCCTTTCCGCACTGCTAACCGCACAACGATATTTATTATCAGTTACCCGAGGGTCAAACTTAGAAATAAAGAAGATGTAAATTCTACTTAATAGTAGTTCCCAATGAACGACATTTTGGTGATTCCGACAATTCGGATCTGTCAAAGAGAGGCTGTAAAGGGATTTCATTAAATGAAAAATTAAGAAGAAAAAAAAGGATGTTAACTTTACTAACATTTATGGTAGGAATTCTCATTGCAGCATATTGATGTATTCACGACGTTTCGGCCGTTGTCCGATCGGGCCTTCTTCAGGATCTGTCTATATTTCTTGTTATTTATTGTTATTAATCTCTTATTGTGCCTAATTTATAAATTAAACTTTATCATAGATACTTTTTTAATGTCAAGTCCATGACTCTCTAGAGATTTTTCAAGGCATGCAGACCATTCTCACTTCCAAGATTGGTGCAACATAATCTTCCTAACTCAAATATTTTGACTATGTCTGTACACAAGAATCAAGATAGGAGTGTACATAAATATTGACCAATACGAGCAAAGAAAATATCATTGTCAGAATAAAAAAATACCCGTTTTATCATTGCAAATACAATTTAACGGCATTAGATTACTAAGTTTGTAGCACCGTTGACCAGTTTGTTGAAGAGCGAATATTTTCTTGGGTTGGATGGAAATATATACATATATATATATATATATATATATTTATGTGATAAATTGTACTGGAGATATTAATATGGTCGTATGAGGGCTTTTTTAAAACAAGGAACATTGTAGTGGTAGTATTGTATTGTATGCAACACATGGTTCGTTAGGGACTAGAAAGTCTCATGGAGTAGAAATGAGACACATCACTAATGTACTCTGTGGTTGAAAAGCGAATGAAAAAGAGGAAGGATTTGGGCCTTTTCCTTACCGAGTGTTAGCAAAAGAAAAAGCCCTTAACAAGCAAAATAGGGTAATCCCACACCCTATTTGGTCTTAGCAATAGCTCTGTGCACGGAAAATGACAATTTGTTAGTAATTAATACACGAAGGTCTTTTTCATTATTTATCAGTTTTCCATTCATTTTGCAAAAAATGATCATTTAATTAAATTATGTAATATTAGTTTGTTCAGAAAATGTCTGGAGACGGAGTGGAGCCCAAAAGATCTAGTCGCGGTTAAAACCTGTAAATTTCAATTTGTTTTCTTTGTCTTTGTTTTCTTTGCCAATTGGTCAAACTGATAGCGTGATAGAATGTTTAAAATATGTATATAACTCTTTCGGGGTCGATACTTAAGTTTCAACTTTAGATAAAAGTGAGCTTTCTCGAAGAGATTAACTCTGCTATTTTTAATTTACTCCCACATTATCAAACTCCTGAACGCAATAACCACATATCATTCTTTACACTTAGGCCCACATATGTCAGAAAAGAGAGTCTATAATAACAGAAAACTGAAGCAAAGAAATTTCCGTTTTGCTTATGATATGTCCCGGAAAGGGATATATTTGTTCGAAGTAGCAAAGTAGTTGTTGACTACTGTAACCGGGTAGGACAATCTAGCAAGTAACCGTAATGACTAGTCCTCGTCGTAGTGGTAGGCAATAGGCGTAGGCAATAGGCGTCGTCCTGTACCTCCACATCAGTCTGTATTTATGGCTGACACCAGCCAATCATATTACTGTGAGGGGGAACCCAGGTGTATGCATATTCATTACATCAGCTTAATAATCATGTGCTTGTGTGTTTACAGGTAAAAATTGGTCGACGGAAGGTATTGTGACCAAAGTCAGCAGCTTTAATGAAACAGTTTGCGAATCGGATCATCTGACGAGCTTTTCTCTGCTTTTGGTAAGAAGAAGTTGTTATTATTATTATTGTTGTTGTTGTTGTTGTTGCTATAATTATTATTATCATTATTGTTGTTATTATTATTATTTTCTTTGATTTCTGGCGTTTACACATTTCTTTCCGGGTCCTGCCCAGGGACCTAAGTTTAGAAATAGCGTCATGACACTTTCCACTCACAAAAAAAAATTAATAAATTACATAGGTGTGGGCTGTACTTGTCAGAACAATTTTTTGTATCTCCTTGAGGCATGGACTTCCAGGAATCCCTTCAATTAGTCTACTGCAATCTTTTCCAACCAGTCCTAGGGCTCCAACTACAACAGGGATTGTTGATGTTCCCATATGCCACATTTTCGAGATTTCTATTTCAAGGTCCTTGTACTTTGACAACTTTTTGAATATCTTCAAAGATACATTGCAGTCAGCAGGAACTGCCATATCAATAAGGAGGCACCGTTTTTGTTTGTGGTCTTTAATAACAATATCTGGCTGGTTGGCCTTGATTGTTCTGTCAGTGTGTATTGTGTAGTCCCATAGAATTGTAACACATCCTATCTCCGTAACCGGGTCTGGGTGGTGTTCATACCAGTTTCTTTCAGTTTCCTTCCCGTAGAAGTTGCAGATTTATTATTATTATTATTATTATTATTATTATTATTATTATTATTATTTCCTTTGTTTTCTGTTTATTTACATTTCATTCCGGGTCCCAACCAGAGACCTATGGTCAGAAATGGCTTCATCACATTTTCCTTTTTTGTAAAACACACAGACACACACATGCATACACATTTTGCATAGATAAAGCTCCTCGTAATCTGTGATCTGTACTTGTGAGTACAATTTTTTTGTATTTCTTTAAGGCATGGGCTACCAGGAATCCCTTAAATTCATCAACCGGAACCTTTTCAAACAAACTGAGGGCTCCAACTACAACTGGAATTATTAATATCCTCATGCGCCATATTTTTTAGATTTTCACTTCAAGATCTTTAAAGATAAAATGCAATCTACAGCGACTGCCATGTCAATAAGAAAACACATTCTGTTCTTGTGATTTTTTATCACGAAGTCAGGGCGATTACCTTTGATTGTTCTGTCTGTGTGTCTTGTAAAATCCCATAAAATTGTTATATGTCCTATCTCCACAACCGGGTCTGGGTGGTGTTCATACCAGTTTCTTGCAGTTTCCTTCCCGTAAAAGTTGCATATTTTCTAGTACATATATTAGCCTACTCTATCATACCGAGTTTTATATTCAGTTGATGCTAACACCGTGAAACCTGATACAAGATGATCAATTGTTTCTTAATATTTATCACAGAATCTGCATTTTGGGCTAACAAAATTTCTCAATATGTGACCTTGGTAATTTTTTTAATATTATTATTATTTCTTTTTGACCCGCATACAATTATAGTAAAACCTCGATTTTACACGCCCCGATTTAAAGCGACTTCGTATATAACACGATGGCCCAACAATCGGGTGCAGTGGCCGAGAGGGGGGGGGTTAGAACTTTAGTGTTTCAAATATGATCTGCTGAGTTTTCATCTATAAAGTGTTATTTCCGTCCGTTCTTCTATTTTGCAAAATAATCTTGCTTCACTTGGACAATATATTAAAAATTAACCTGAACTATTTTATTATAACAAATCATAATGTAACGCTAGATATCTCAGCAATATATTAAAAGAAATAGCCTCGTGTTTTTCAATGTTCTTATTTATTTATTTTTAAGGCTGTTTCTCCTGAGAAGCCACTACCTGTCATTCACGAAATGGTCCTCACCTACATTTCTTATATTGGTTGTAGCATCTCCATATTTGGAATTGTACTCACTATTATTACTTACGGATTATTTGGGTAAGTTTTATTCATTTTTGTCTTTCTTATTTCTATTTCCTATTGAGACACAGGGTTGATATGTAATCTAGACCGTTTCCAGTTTTTATTATAAACTTATTTTATTTTATAATAAAGTGCTTTCATAACCCAACATCCCTTTAGCCTCAGGACTGGCAAAAAATGAATTCTGATAGCTTATGTAACCGGGAGAGAACTCTCAAACCAGGATATTCCTAGGCAAACCGCAACAGAAAAAATCTAGATTTCTTTTTCAGGTGACTTTGAATGACTAAAAATACGAGTATAACGCTTATGATATCCGTAAAAATAACGGGATTTATTTAAGTATGGATCAGTACTTCTAACTAGGATCAGTATAGTATCTGTGCACACAAGATCAAACTGTCGCTTCCTGGCACGTCTGCCTTGGATCAAAATACAGTATCTATGTACTACATGAAAAATGATATGGATAAAAATTGAGTTTGATATATACTTATGATTATTAAATGAGTCTATTTTTTATCGAAAGGACCTATTAACTGTAAACTCAATATTGTCTCTGCTTATCGAAGGAGTCTATTGACTGTAAACTCAATATTGTCTCAATATTATATTGATATAACTGACTTAATTCAAACGAAGCTTTTCATGACCCTGTCAAAAAGAAGACGTTTACAATCTTCAATGGGTAAAATAAAATTTACGTTGGAGAATTCTGTTAATACTGATATTCACATAAAAGCCATTTCTGAGCTGAGTTAAAAAAAACAAAAAAAAAAAAAAAAACAAGCACGTACTGCTTTCGGTCAGGGTACTAAAAAGCAAAATCAGACTGGTGACTGAAGATCCTTCTACCATACAAATGCACTAAGAGATATCGGGACACGCCTTGACAACTAAGTTGATCGTGCTTTTAACCGGGGGGGAGGGGCTATTCTTACAAATACATTGACTTAAATCCAGCTTTAGTGGCATAAAAATGTGAGACCAGTCGCAAACATGGTGCATTTCTTCATAAAAAAATAAACTGAACAAAACATTGAACGATGCGTTTGAACATCACATCTGACCATATGAATGCTAAACTTATTCCGGAAAATTACTTTTTCCTTCATTCTTTTTCCATAATTTACGTTTTCAATTATCTGAATATATTTTTCAACCACTATCGCAAGGTGTCAGGATAATCGTGTACCATACTGAACTTATTTTTTTCTAGCCACCACAATATTGCAGCCAATTCATTCTACGTCCTTCTAGAAAACTTAAATGTTGTTTAAAATTACATTTTTTTCTTTTACATAAAACTGAATTCAATCTAAACAAAAAATTAAATCAGAATTTAAACAATGACTTTTGTAATATATTTGTAAAATCTACGATATCTTTATACTTAAAATTACAACTCTTAAATAAATGCTTTGCTGTCTAATCTATAGCCATGTAGATGATAAAATGGGTGGAGGTTATCGTGCCACCCAAATTAAATTACCAAAATAATGTATGAATTAGCAGGACATGCAATAGTATATGCCTTAATGAGATAGCGTCTCCGGTCTGGGAGACAATTTATTGCATTTGTGAAGACTACTCGAGAGCGAGCTCATTTTCTATTAATTGTGCAGAAGGAGAGATATTTTCCAGCCAGCAAATGTCACTTTATCATTGGAATAAATATCAACCGAGGAGGAGACAAAGACAGATATCAGTTTACAAACCACGTAAGCATTTCTGCTGAAAGAACAATTCTAAAAAAAAATAAAATAAGAATGCTACCTGTTTGATCTAAAAACTAAAGAATATATAAAACCTGCCAGAAAATTTAATTGACTTATATTATGTTTCGGTAGCCGCTTCCTTAAGCTTATATATATATATATATATATATATATATATATATATATATATATATATATATATATATCGTCGACTCTCTCGTCGAATTCGTCGAAGTATGAGGTCAAGCAAATCAGTTCCCAGAAAACCGACGGCCCGACAACAGTACGTGAGATTTGATTGTAGTGGTGCAGGACCATCCACACTTTTGAAGGGCCGAATACAGAGACCTGGTGCACTAAGTGCCACAAGGTCCCCAAACGACCCTCCGCATGTTTTGAATTCAGAATAGTCCTTCTCCTAGGCCAATTGCCACCCAAGGCTATAGAACCCAGTCTGCCCTGCTATTTACCATAGCTGGCGGGAGAAGAAGGATTCACACCTTTCCCAAAAATATTAGCACGGTCGAATCAAATCAATATATATATATATATATATATATATATATATATATATATATATATATATATATATATGATGTAGTATTGGATAGCGTTTCGGTTTGAGTTACTGGAGGGGCTGAATTCAAGTCAAATCCATTACATTCACTTGCGTACCTTTGGGTAAATAGCGAGACAGACTGGGTTCTATAGCCTTGAGTGGCAACAGATCTAGAAGAAAGACAATTCTGAATTCAAAACCTGTGGAGCGTTGTTTGGGGACCTTGTGGCACTAAGTGCACCAGTTCTCTTTATTCGGCTCTTCCAAAAAGTTTGGTTGGTTCTGCACAAGCCTTCACCATTATAATCACATGATTTGGGAAGGTAACTTGGCTGTCATTTTCAAAGAACTGAGTTGCTTGACCTTCAATAGTCGAAATCAACAGGATACTCCATTATATATATATATATATATATATATATATATATATATATATATATATATATGAATATATATAATGATATTATTTAGTAATCCGTATGGATAATTTCAAAGAGGATATAGATCCAAAGAGCTCATTGTAATAACAGAGCAAATATAATTATGAAAAGGTGAAAAGGTTTCGGTTTTAATGAAATAAAATATTACCATGAACTTTTAAAGTCTCCGTTTTCATAATTATATATATATATATATATGATAAAAATGTAATTTTACGATATTTTATATTATGGTTAAAGTGCTCAATATCGGGAATAGAGCGTATGTAAATATAAAAGTGGACATTGAGGTCAATACCCTACATTGACAGTCTGTTTCATGCTTAAACACAATCTACAGACAATTAGTGCTGAGCTCACTGTCCACACACACACACACACACACACACCTATACACACATATATATATACATATATATATATATATATATATATATAAGCAATATGAATAAAGACAAAAGGAAAAATTATCTTAGCCGACGCGTTTCAAAGTCCATTAGAGGACGAAATACGTCGACTAAGATAAGCTTTATTTTTGTCTTTATCCTCGACACGCATTATTTAGGCTAAAACTTGTATATTTTAAAATACAAGATAACACGATATGGAGTAACTGAATCAGCCTGATGAAATAGCTGAACTGGTTAGATGTAACCATAAATTCTATGCTAAACGTTTCTTCTCTCGCACTTCTTGTTTGTGGAACTCCTTTCCGGCTTCTCGCTTCTTAAATCCTCTTCTTTTATTGTATTTTCTTCTTAATAATGTTTTCTTTTTCTCACATTCTCTGACACTCGGTAACCCCTGAATATCTTAGTGGCTTTATTGTCTTGCTCGAGGTGAAATGATAAAAAAGGCAATCCCTCTCTAATAAGTATTTCGTTAAAAAAACAAGGTACTTCTATTGAATTTTTTTCCATATTGTATTTTTCTTGCATGCGAAAAAGAGCTTTCTTTTGGGACTTAATGATAAGAGTAAAAATGGTCCAAATGTTTGTTGATTCCGAGCACTTCGGCTGAATCTATTAGTCATTTTAAAGAATTCTAAATACTTCGACGCATTTTACTTAGCAACATCACATATTTTTGCTATACAAGTGTGTCCCGTTTCTATGGAAATCTTCAAATTGAATAAAGAAGGGCAGTTCGAAGTCTATATGTCAAGCATTTTCGACAATTTTTCTTTTCTTTTTTTTTACTTGATGTGATCTGTATTGATGCTGATCGAATTACATTAAATTTGATTTTATAAAGACAAACATATGAAGATAAAGACAGAAAACTGTCCAACATCATGACAGATTCTGTGTATATGTAATGAAGGGCAACAGCTTTGCAATGAGTAACACTCTCTTCTCTACTCATCACTGAACATTCATTTAGTATTTCTAATTATATCTTCTCGTTATTGCAGATGTCTCCACGGTGACCCTTCCGGGCGAATCTTACTGAACCTGTGTTCGTCTTTGTTGTTTTTGAATGTAAGCTTCCTCATGGCCAGCCAAGTAAACACTCTGCAGATAAAATACAACGAGACGTCTGCCGAGACACTGTGCATCATTGTTGCAATCCTCATCCATTATTTCCTGCTGACCACATTGGCTTGGATGTGCGTAGAGGCCATCAACATGTACCAAATGCTGGTCACTGTCTTCAACATCTATCACAGTCGTTTTATGTTAAAGAGGGTTTTGGCTGCATGGGGTTAGTAAACAACCATATTTCACTATCTCTTTAACTATATATATATATATATATATATATATATATATATATATATATATATATATATATTTATTTATTTTAGAAGATTATAATAAAGACATTTTGAAATCTTTACACAAAAGTTTTCATTGTACTGAAGAAGTGCAACCATAATATTGAAACATGAAAGCATTTGTTTAGCGATTTCTACGTTTTTATTATAATCTCTTATAATAAAAATAATAATAATATATTGCTCTACTTTATATTGAGCACTTTTTAAAAGTAAATGGTATGAACAGTGGATTTTTATTCCATCTGTTCTTTCTCTCAATGGATATATATATATATATATATATATATATATATATATATATATATATATATATATATATATTGTTCATATATATATATATGTGTGTGTGTGTGTGTGTGTGTGTGTGTGTGTGTGTGTGTGTGTTATAAAACAATAATTTACAAATTTACTTTCACCAGATTAATGCTCGTGTAAGAAGTTCGATCTTCTTCGAATATATTATTGTACTTTTGTGTCAGGAGAAGTTAAGAATAGGATATGCAGCGCCTGAAATTTTCATATGTGACAGGCTGAAAATTATGTGATGGGCTGAAAATTATGTAACAGGCTGAAAATTATGTGACAGGCTGAAAAATTCAGGCAACCGGGTGGAAAAAACTAACGAAAATAAACATAAAAGATACACTCATAGCTAGTTTAGATGTTAAATCTATTTAGGCTTTTATATGTTATATCTTCAGGCGTTAAAATCTATTTAAACCTTTAGAGTGTACAATCATTTGAACCTTTATATATTTATATCTAAAGGCTTAAATAGATTTTAACACCTGAAGATATAACATATAAAAGCCTAACTAGATTTAACATCTAAACTAGCTATGAGTCTATTTAAGCCTTTAGAGTGTACAATCATTTGAACATATATATAACATATATATATATATATATATATATATATATATATATATATATAGTGGCTTGATTGAGGAATCGCAGGGCCGAGTTCGAATTCCAGTCAGACCCATTACATTCACTTACGTGCTAATACCCTTGGGAGAGGTATGAATCCTCTTACTCTCCCTCCAGCTGTGGGTAAAATAGCAGGACAGACTGGGTTCTATAGCCTTGGATGGCAACTGTTCTAGGAGAAGGACAACTCTGAATTCAAAACCTGCGGAGGGTCGTTTGGGAATCTTGTGGCATTCGGTGCACCAGGTCTCTGTATTCGTCACTTCAAAAAGTTTGGATGGTCCTGCACGAGGCCTCTACCACTATAATCAAATCTCATGTGCCGGTGTCGGGCTGTCGGTTTCCTGGAAACTGATCTGCTTGACCCTCATACGTCGAATCTCGACGGGAGAGTCGATTATATATATATATATATATATATATATATATATATATCAAACGTTCCATTAACAAATACTTAATCTAAATTTTAAAAAGAACAGAATCTAACAGAATCATAAACCTATCCATCCTAAAATCATAAAAGAAAATTGTTAATTCATCACAAACCAATGGTATTTCACGATTAACGATAATTTTTTTATAAACAAAAAATTTGGATTACCGATGGTTAAATGGATAGCGGAAGAGGGAGAAGACGTGGTTTGTAAAAAGACAAGTTTTATTAAGAGCTAGAAATGTTAAGAAGTTGTGGAGAGATGTGATCGACGACATCCTGAAGGAACACGGCAACCACGACGAAAAAGAAAAAGGATGAGGATGAGGTAAAGGTGAAGATGAAGGTGAAGAATTTGACTGGAAATAGGACAAGAACATTGTCGGTTTGTTCAAAACACTCGAACAACAAATGCCATCGTAGCGATCATTACAAATTCAAAAAGGCCTTTACATATGTTTCATAGAATTATACAAAGGCATTTGATAGGATCTGACGTACAGAATTGTTTGAAATATTACGAAGACTTTAAGCCGAAAAGATATCCAAGTAGTTTATAACCACAACTATTATCAAAAGGCTTGCATGAAGAAAGAGAACGAGTTTAGATTAGTGAATATATAAAAGTAGAAACATCTGAACAACAGGGATATTTAATCTATACAGCAAGACAATCCTGAGAGATATAGAAGACCTACCATTTCGTTGTACGCTCCGGCCTTCTTCAGGTGGTTGGAATGTTGAACTGAACCCTTTATTTCGCTCGCTGGTGTATACTGTTCTAGTTCCACGTGCCATGTTTTAATGGATGTCAGTTATCAGTTATCTCCTGTTAATTCCCAAGTTCTCCACTGCCTTAACCGGGTACTGAACTCACATTCTTTGGGTTAAGGCACTGAAGAAGACCAGAGCGTACAACGGCCAAAATGTTGTAATAAATATGGCGACAAAGATAAGGACAATAGTCCGAATAATGTAAATAGTGTACATGATACCTCATCTCAGAAATATAGACAGATACTGATGGGCCGAAACGTTGTAATAAATATGGCGACAAAGATGAGGACAATAGTCCCAATAATGTAAATAGTGTACATAATACCTCATCTCAGAAATATAGACAGATACTGAAAGGCCGAAATGTTGTAATAAATATGGCGACAAAGATGAGGACAATAGTCCCAATAATGTAAATAGTGTACATAATACCTCATCTCAGAAATATAGACAGATACTGTGTTGAATTTGTTGTCTATTCCGAGGTAATAAGCAACATATTTGATAAAAATTGGTATTAGAAAACAATCGAGTTTTTGTTTTCCTTTTTACTTAATTCTTTTCTTCAGAATTGGCAAATATTCTTATATTGCATATGTTTGTTGTATTATGTTTGGAGTTTTTCGATGCCAATTTCATTTTGAGCCAATTCTAAGTAGCAAATAATTTCTTTCGTTTTGTATAATTATATTCTGAATTTGATGACTCATTGTTGAACGTTACAGAAATTATTTTTCCCTGCCCAAAATCGAGTTTCATTAATGAATCTTTTTCATTATCAATTTCGAACTAGTTTATCTTTCATCTTATTTTTGTTGCTTCCAGAAGTTTTGAGACTTTTTCAGGAGATACGTTTATTAATGTCAAAGAAATACAAAACACTAAACTCCTTCGAAGTAGAATCCGCTGACTTCAATGCACTTGTTGTAGCGGTCCACTCCCTTCGTGAAGGACCCAATGAAAATGAAGGTGTCCATGACCCTAATCATAAGATATTTCATCTTGCTCCTGGGGTTCCCTTTCAGCTTGGTGAACAACCAACAGTCACAGGGAGCAAGGTCTAGCCTGTGTGGGGAGCAAAGTGCAGGTTTGTTGTCCATCTGTCAAAAGAAAACTTTATTACATAGTTACCTTCCAAATTGCAGAATGCCCTCGAGACATGAAGACAAACTAGTCAGCTGTGACGAGGAGGCTTTAGTAGGAAGTATTCAAATAACAAAAGTGGGCAAGTCGGCTTATTAAATGTATGGTGTACTAAAATTACAATAATCTAGGACAGTTATACAGTGCCTCTCCTAAGAAAAAAATCTCAAAACTTCTGGAATGTCCTTTGTATCTAAATATCTATTTTAAATTCTATTATTTTATTCTATGATAGCAAGTTCAAATTTTGCTACGGCTATTTGTTTATTTCTGAATGGTCGTAGAATGTAAAAACGACCTTTACGTTGAGATAAAAAGCAACAACAATAATGCTATCAAATCAGTTGGAAGAGAAACAGTGAACCAAATAAACAAGATCAAATTCTATGGTGAACATGCAAACAAGTTTTAATGTGTACAAATAAATAACATTGAAAATAATTTGTTGCTCCCAAATTTCTGTCTGTAGCATTTAACGATACGTCTGAAAGAATTCTACATATATTGCAATATTCGGCTCCCAAATGAACAATGTCTTTTTTTCTTTCTTGTTTTAACCTGACAGGTATACCTGCTCTTACAGTTGGCATAACGTTAGGTATCGACATAAGGAACTACAAGACTGCTATTGGATAGTAAGTATTTTAAATGTTTTTCATTGATCCAGAAAACCAAAGTGTGTGTAAATGAAAAAAATAAATCCAAGAATTGTAAGTGAAGATTCCACATACACACTCTGTGTGTGTGTGTGTGTGTGTGTGTGTGTGTGTGTGTGTTTTTTTCGTTAAAGAGTTAATGCACCTTAAGGAACGGTGTTCCTGATCAAACCAAACTTATAAATAACTACATTGGTCATACTACTACATGCTTATCTAGCCATCTCACATTACACCTACCCGATAATAGCTCAATTAGGTCTCATTTAAATACACACTGGAACCTACCAAACTACATCTACAACATACTAATAGAAAATGCAAGTATAATAGCCTCATCCACATGTCAATAAAGGATTAAAAATAATGGAAGCAGTACTAATAAGGAAAAAAAGCCAACACTCAATAACATTAACTATGAACACTGCCACAATGTACTGATCGTGTTTGGAAAATAAAATGTTCCTATAACTTCCGACACATACACAAAAAAAAAACACATATTCAATTAAAAATAAAAATCGTCCTTGATAATGGCTAAAAGAATAGCTGAAAGCTCTCGGATATGCGGGACTTTTAGACAGTTTTTACACACTTTGTGTCCAGAAAAGAAAACACTTGTACCAAACTAAAAAAAAATTAAATAAAAAACTTAATCGCAGTACATTGTCAGTCGTCTCTAACGAAACTTGTATAAAAGAGGGATTGCTGACCAATACACAATTGTCATATATATAACTAATACAAGCAAAGTATTTGTGACTTAGCTGATTTAGGTTACCATCAGCATCCCGACTCCAGTGTTTCGTAGACGGACGCTCCAGAAATCACTACATTCACTCGTCAGGGTGTATCAGCAATTGACTGTTTATACTTCTTGATTTTTCTCATACATACATACATATATATATATATATATATATATATATATATATATATATATATATATATATATATATATATATATATATATATATATCCGTTATTCAGCGAGTTGTCTCGCTGAATAACGGATGTATACGCTTGTTAGCAGGCACTCCCACCCCACCTAAACTTAACCTGACTTTGTAAGTAACATATATTGAATACATAAGCTGTCTAGGAAAATTAAAACCCAACCACCCCTAATCAAAATAAATTGAATTTTCCTTAACCCTAACAACTCATATTAATATTGTCTGCGCTTATAAATTTTCTTAGAAAGTTATTCCTAACATCATTTGCCATTGGAACGAAACTATGTTTAATTTTTATAATTAAATTTATAAATTTATTTTCAGTTTTGAAACATAGAAATTTCTGTGTCGCGATGGAATCATATTTTTAAAAAAGAAAATATATAATGAAAACAAAAATTAGCATAAACCAGTGTTTTCACAGGAAATTCTATAACATTCTTTTTAAATAAAAAGAATCATTGAAAGGTCCGTTTTGCCAACTTCTTCTAAGAGATTTTGTATAATAAATAAGTGAATCAGATGCACATATGTTGTTTGATTTGGAGTACCAAATCACAATAAAAATTCCAACACAAAAATAAAACTCTGAATCGCAAGTAAAAATCAAATTTAATTTTTTCAGCTTTCGTTATTTCATCACTTGCACTCCAACATTACTTATAGTACCCAGCGCTAATTTTCCTGTTTTTAGTTACAATTTTTAGTACCTGATTTTCTTACCTAAATAATGATTTTCAGTTCCTATTAATGTTAACTCAAAGTACAAAGTTTGAAGTGCCTGCATGTAAATTTTTTTTTTAAAGATTTATATTTAATATATATATTTTTTTTTATATATATATATTTTCAAAATCGGGTATGATATACCCATGGTTAGTAGCGGTGTAAGTTTAATTGATGGTTAGTGTTCTCGGGTTAAAATAAAAATTAAACTCTGTATGTTATTTCCAGTCCTGTCTCCAGTCCTCATTTTTTTTCCATTTCTTGATCGATTCGGAAAAAAGTAGAGTGAGTAAATACACAAATAATCATTTTTTTTGACAGACACACTAGCAAATGCAAAAACGTGATTATCCAGTGTGATTGTTACAGATTTCCAACCAATTCTAGTAATCGTCTTTCGAATCCTAGCAAAAGTCAAGATTTCAGGAAACTATTCTGAATTCAGACACATAAGGAAGATTGACACAACACAAGTTTTTATGTTCATTATTCGTTATTGATAAAGATCAAAGTTTACAAATTTAAAATGTATTCGCACGCATATTGGTTTCTACTCTCTCTCTCTCTCTCTCTCTCTCTTTCCTTGTGCTCATCAAAAGTTAAAAAAAATTAACTTGAATGAACACAGTTTCAAATCATCTTGTCTTCCGAACAACTAACGGAAATATTGTACCTCTATACGTCTATTAAAAATATCTCTATTACATTACAATATGGTTTAGATCAGGCATGGGTAACCTTTCTCATGTGGCCCACTGGTTCCAAACAGTTGGCCACATGAGAAAAGGCTCATCATAAAAATATTCAAGGTAATTTTTCATTGAAGGTTTCCTCAACCAAATGTACGAGAGACAATGTAAGTGAACAAGTGAGAACGAAACAAACCCAATTTTAAGAAATGTTATTTTCCTCCTGAAATTTGGCATGCTATCCAGAAATTCAAACAGGCCACATGTGACCCGTTGTCCACAGTTTGTCTATGACTGGTTTAGATTGTGAAAGACATAAATATCCTAGATTTTCTGATTTTCAAAGTAAAATTCATGTTACATTCTTTTTGTTAAAAAAAAGTATATTAATCTTACTGGAAATTTTAAAAATTGTATGAAGCATGAAACCACTGCTTTTGAACTAATTTGTCCCTCAAACCATCGAAAGCCATTGTTAGTAAACTGGCTCAGTCCAATAAATTCTATCTTGGTAACCAAGTACTTGTTACTTTTTCTACAATAAGTGTTCTCCAACATTTTAAAGAAAAAATGTAGTCAAATTTATTTTTAAAAATTGCTAATAGGAATATATACTTGAAAAACCAGGTGGATAAAATAAGTAAAGGTTTATTGTAAAAAAACAGTACAATAAGGATAAAGGTAAGAGTTATGCACAAGGTCGTCGCAAGTCAATCCAATAATGAGTGCTACTATTGGAAGGTTGGTAGTTCTTGCATAAGTCTGAGTTGTACTCAACAGATCCCAGCTAGTAATATTTACCAACCGCCCCACGAGGTAGAATGTGGCACAAGGCCGAATTTAATGTGGGGCAATCTGAGCCCGTAGGCTCAGCCAAAAAATCCCCGTAACCCCGCATAAACGGTTTCGGGTCTATCTACCTCCCCGGACGAGACTTTGCCCTTCGGCATAGCCTCATCCAGGTTCCTCTCTGCTCGAAGGCAGAGTGTTCGACAACAGCTAAGAGCTGAGTAACAGATCCCATCAAGTCTCTGTAGTCAATTTCTACTTATAGTGTAGTCACTCATGGGGGTGACAGGTTATTCCATTACATCAAACATATTACAGGAAAGCTGAAAGAGAAAAATTACAGAGTAAAAGAAGCATAAAGTTCAATAAATGAATTAAATAAAACATCTTTAGTATATGAGGTCTGATCAAAAAGTATTCGAACTGATTTTATAAAAAGAAAACTACAACACATATCAATTTGGCAATTTATCTCCTTCGAAGTAGGCCTCTTCAACATCGTTTCAATTGATAAAAGCATTCGTGGAACTCGTGGAATAGCGAGTTACTGTCTCCTCGGATTCATTTGGTTTTTCTCGCCATCTTGAAATCGTGTCCCTTTCAAGAGTGGTTTAATTTTTAAAGAAGAAAAGTTGCAAGGAGTGTGATCTGGGAAATATAGCGTTTGTCAGACCTTGGGAATATCTTCTTGACCAAGAACTGCTGCACAAGCCATGGTCACTGATGGAACCTCTGTGGTGTGGTGAAACGACCACACTCTACACACTTTCCTTCCAAGCACAGCTATAGACAACATAAGTGAGTGATAATGTTATAACATTGTGTGTATGCGTGACAGAGTTCAAGGTAAGTCTGTGTATTTTAGTTCCGTTATCATAGCAACAGTCCCAATATATTTTTTCAGACCTCGTACATACGTTAAAAAACATGGAGAAGTCAGGATTGATTAGCTTATCATCTGTTTATTTGTGCATTTTTGCCTGCTGCTAATTGCCTGCGTTGCAGGCACTGTTTCTAGTAAGACCAAAAGCACTGTAGCAACAATATTTTGCATATGTAAATGACAAGTGAAAGGAAATGGATGTGACAATTTCAACAAGGCAATATTTAATTGTTTTTTCTTATATAAAAAAGAAAGAGTAAAAGGAGAAAATACATGAGTATGCATGTGAAAGAGAGAAGATCTTACTGGTTAAGAATTATGTGGATGATACATACGCGTGTGAAAGTTCAGTTACTAAGGGGAAAAATATGCCCATGCCCAGGAACAAGATCCAGTTGGAGTTAGTTCTACCGCATACTGGAATAAAAAGAGACAGGAAATGTTCTGTTTTTATAGCTGCTTGACACCACAATCTAACATCTTCTTCACAAATTGATGAAGCTATGTGTGAGTAACCCACAACTGATAGGAATTTTAGAAGGGAATGATAAGTTTATAGATGTATGTGTTCGATTAATTTGCTTTTACTAAAAAATTTTCTGCTATATCGTTTTTCATGAACTCTGCGTCAAAGACAAATGCAGATTAATAACTATTTTTAAACAATGAGTTACACAAATCAATTTTCTTCTTTTCCAGTTGTTTTCTCTCCTACGGAAACCGAACGGCTTTTTACGTGGCTCTTTTAACTCCTGCTTGCGTAATACTCTTCATCAACACAGTCGTCTTCGGGATGGTCACCAAAGTCATCATGAAACCTAAATTCAAGAATAAACACCAGTGTTCTTCGGCCGTATCCAGCGTCCAAGTTCGCGGCTGCTTCACAGTCATGGTCTTACTCGGAGTCACCTGGCTTTTTGGGCCGCTGGCCATCAACGAAATGAAAATCTTCTTCAATTATCTTTTCTGCATTCTAAATTCCCTTCAGGGTTTCTTTATCTTCGTGTTCCGTTGCCTGCTCAATCCAGAGGCCAAGATGGCGTGGGTACAATTGATAAAGATGGGCACGCTCAAGAAGAAGAAAGGGCCAAGGAAGTCTGTCGACAGTTCATCGAACGGAATGTACGGAGGTGGTGGCGGCGGCGGTGGGCAGCTTGGTCACCGCTGGAGCCAAAAAACCATGACGGTTGAGATCAGAGACAACACTAACCTTAAAAAGCTCTCCAAACCTAACGATAATGGTATTTATGAGAAGAACATCTCATACGAGAGTTGCCGAAATAAATGGGACCAAAGTAATGGTAGTACATACCAATCAGACAAGCCTGTGGAATTCACTCGACTTTGAGATGTTTTTGTTTCTTATTGTAGTGAGTCATATTTGCCTATGTAGGCAATTATCTTACTTGTTTCTTGAATATCTAATTTGTGATTATTTTATTCACGTCTACCACAAAAAAAAAAAACAAAAAAAAAACGGATATTTATTCAAGGGACACAACTCATTGCATAACTTCATACAAACATTTAAGTACTAAACTACATTAAAAATGTCCAATTATTTATTTATTTTATTTTTGTGGTACTAAGGAGATTTTAAATTTTCTTATTTTTAATAACAAAAAAAACCGGATAATCTACAAGTGAAAATTTAATTAGCGGTTTCTGCACATTGTGCAACTTGGTATTCTCACAAAACTCATAACATTTTAAAAAATAAAACAATGCTAAATTTTCTTCTCATACTACAAAAAAAAATATATATATATATATATATATATATATATATATATATACACACACACACTAAATGAACATCATATGATGCGATCATGCCTAAAATAAAAGTTATTCCATCTTTCTTCTTCAAGTCTGTACAGTGAGGAAAATTTCAAATCAATAGTCAGGTTTCAAAGACATGGCAACCAACCAACAAACCAACCAACCAATCCTTATATTTGGAAATTTGTGCTACACAGTCTTTCTTTCCTCAGTTTTGTAAAACTGACATCTTATAAATATTTGTCTGCAAGTTTGTTATTTTTTCCAGTGCCCTGTAAAGAATTAAAATACAAAAAGTTGGAACGTGAAACATTACATGACAACAGACGCAACACCAATTTTGCTACAAGTAGGGCAGAACTTAACTTTTACCTATTGAAAACAAGTTCCAGATCTTTTCATTCTTACGGAACCACTTTATGCACAATGTTGCAAAAGTTGATCAGAATACACACTGGTTTTATCAATTCACAGTTTAAAAAAATAAAAGAAGAAAAGGAAATTATTTCCTAATGAATTTAATATTACCAATTTTCTGAAATAAATTCAAAAAAAAAAAATTTCCTTCCAATTTCATCAAGTCTTGAAGACTGACATGTTAGTATGGACTAAATATTCAAAAACAATTCCAGTATCAAGAACATCACATTTTAAAGAAAAGAAACTCAAAAAATATTTGAGATGTGATTTTTTTCAGTAAAAGAAATCCTATTAAAAATAAATTGTTAAAAGAAGAAAAAAAGAAATAATCTATGATTAATTTTCTCTTTTATAGACAAATTGTGAATCATTTCTCTTAAAAGGCATCTTCCACCTTTAGAACAATTTTGGAATACCATTTCAAAGGAACTGTCCTCAGAGAATTGCAGAATATACCAAAATTTCCCAGGAGTTGATTTTGAGGATTTGAAATAATATGCATTAAAAAAAAATAATTAAAAAAGAACAAACATTCCAAACTGAAATGCAATTATTTGTCAGAATGCAAATCAAAATTTGTCCCATTTAGGAGAGAAACATTTTTCTTCTTACAAAAAAAAACAAAAAAACTTCTTTTTGAGATGATAGTGAAGAAAATGCCACCCAATGTCAGTAACAAAAATGGCATATTTAACAGCAATTTCACTACTACTATTGCTACATGGTCTCTGCCTTTCTTTCTCTTCCCTAAAACAATTACTATTTTATCTATTACTACTGAGTAATACCATTGTAATCTCCATCCATTCTTTTGTACATATATATATATCTATATACAGGAGGTGTTAGTTTGTATACCAGTTATCCTAACATGGAGTCATCAAACTGAGTTGAATTTCAACTAAGGTTGCTTATTTACTTTGAAAAGGCATGAATTCATTTCCCTGCATTCTGTGCCATCAGATATCTGGATGTTTCATCACTGGCTCTTGTGTGTAAGCACACATGTTGAGTTCAATCCTCACAGCAGATTTTACAAGCCCACAGATGTACACATCATGTGACTACATCTCCCTTTCCCAAGACACTATGGCAGCAAATACAATGCAGCCTGGACTTAAATGAAGTTATTTCCCATAATTCTATATCCTGTGGAACAGGAGGAAAAATAATCATATTATTGAGTTGTAAAAATCATTACAGTTTGAATAAAGACACAGGACATTTTCCTCCCAAGTATTACATAAAACACATTGAGTCTGTGTACTGCACTATATTGCAAATATACCTTCTTTAAAAAATGACAATCGATTTAAATTTCTTTTATACAAGTGGGAGGTTAAATGACATTTGGTTTCATGGATTATATTATGTATAATAGAAAAATAATGGTCAGATATTTTTCATATTTTTCTGTTAAGTTTTGCAAATGTCTTTTTTCCATACACAAAAAAATAATTGTCAAAATCTCTAATTGCAATATAATGCATGGTTTTTTTAAAAAAAAAAAGAAAAAAAGAAGCATCACTAATAGCGTACACAATTTCATGCACCAATCTGCACATTTTCATCAAAGTTTTAATAAAGCTGCTTTGAAAGTCACTTATACAAATGAAATAAATAATAATTGAATAACAAATAGTGGCCAAGTTAAAAGAAAAAAAAGAAAACTCATTTCCTTTTGCACTTATTATATATCATATATATATATATATATATATATATATATATATATATATATATATATATATATATATATATATATATATATATATCATATATATATATGTCATATATATATGTCCTTGTTGTGAAAAGAAATCAAAGTTGACAGACAAATTTTAGAAGACAATTTGCATCAACAGTAAGTCTATCTAAAAGCAAATTGTGATGGAATTAGGCCAAGTTGAGAAAAAAAACCAAAAAAAACTAGTATGCATTTTTTAATTTAATACTTTAAAACATTTTCACCAGCACATTTACCATGAACTGTATACTTATCTTAAAAACACCTTGTTTTCCAATAACCAATTCTCATTGCTGTAAGAATTGTTAAGAAATTAATTCCATTAAATTAATAAGTAAAATTGACAAGTTAAACACATTTAGAGTTAAGAGTTGATTTTCTTGATTTCACTCCAGCACAGATTGATTTACCATCACTCAGCACCATATTAACTGGCTTGGTTACCAGAGTCATTTAACAGTTCAACCCACCATCTGCAAACTGGAGATGACCTTGCAACAGACCACACAGCCACTAGAAGGCCATTGTCCACCAGGATCTCCAGCAAGTTAATCTCGCACTAGTGGATGTTGCGATACTCTGCCAAAGAGCTTAAGGGACAAGGTGGCTCTCGTCAGCTGAACACCTTCAGATTTAGCAGCAGCAGCAGCAGAATTAGACAAAGGAAATCCACTAAGATTCAAATGAAAACTTATTTTATTTTTCCTGATAGACTAAGACAAAAGAAATAAATAACCATTTTCCCATCCACTCAAAATAATCCTAGACTATAATTCAATGGTCACTAAATGATAATATTTTGATTAGCAAAATAAGTGGTCACTTTTTTGTTCAACTAATAGAAAATTATTTGATGTTTTTCAAAAATTTCAGTATACACATCTCTGAATGACTGTTTTATATTATATATAAAATAAGGAGGATATATAATTATATATCCTCCTTATCCTCATAATCTTCACTTCCTACCACCTCCTCCTCTTATATCCATATCATGAACATCATTTAGTCTCCCACTACATTGATTGGCTTTCAAACCTTATATTGGGTGAACTTTAGTATTAAAAAAATTATGGTCCAAAGAGTAAAATAAAAATAAATAACTTTATGTGACGAGTTATTTTTAACCTGATATAAGAAATACAAATAATTGATTCCACATGTAGCCACAAAATCACAGGTGTGTATGGAGTGGGGGGGTGATTGATCGATTTGCTTTTTACAACTTATCAACTTTTTACAGGTTATTTAAAGCCAAAAAAATATTTTTACATTTTAAGAATTGTTTTGAAGTTAATAAGGATTTACAGATACAAATTCTACTAATTAACTCATAGCTGGTGGGGGCAGAAGATATGGGTTCATGCCTTTCCCTTCGGTATTAGCATGTAAGTGAATATATCAATTCCAACTAGAAATGGAACTCATCTCCCCAATTTCCAATTCTGAGCATTTATCATGTACACCTTCAAACTTACAGCACCTGGTATTCCCAAGAGGTCACCCATCTAGGTATTGGCCAAGCTTGATAATGCTTAACTTCGATGATCATATGAGAACCAATGTGTGTGTAAGTATGACAAGCCCACCATGGTAGAGTGAACAGAATCTACATGGTCTCACCAAAAACAAATGTCACCACTGACATGCTCTTTTTCCCATTGGGAAAGACCATTTTCACACTGCTTGTTGTATACATATGTTATAATTTCTCTGTGAGACAAATTAGTGATAAGTATGTATATATCTGTATAAAAGATCTCTTTGAGAATCATGTATGATTGCTATTCCTTCCTTTCAGATATTGTTCTATCCATGTATTAAGGTATTACTATATTGCGGATATAATAATGCATGTAATAGAGAAATATGAACTGGGAATATTCTTTCTTGCATAGCACCTCCATTAGTCTTTTATAATTTGCAAAAAACTAAGTGATAGATTTATTATATTCTTATCCTATACTAGAAATATGGCTGTTGTATGGTAAATCTTAGACCAATTTGCTTTCATTAAAATACATTTGGGACATGCAGGCTTTTTCTTTACCAATGTTCACCCAATACAAGACCCAAGGACAGCTCAAGGTAGAGAGTTACTATGTAGAGTTGTATAGGAAAATGTCAACATAACAGGAAAGATAGGCAGAAGTCAAGATTTAATTAGCAAATAAAATGTCAGTGTTCAGGTGGAGACGTTAAAAGTATAAAGTTGAAGTAGACTTTAGAAGCGACTGGAAACCAAATCCTAAAGAAGAAACAAAGGATGAACCTCTACTCCTGTTCGAAAGAATCAGACAACAGGCAAACCTAACTACTCCTATTGGGGGGTGGGGGGAATAATAATTACTGAATAAAATTTCAGATTTCAGGCAGAGACTTCAGAATTACAAAGCTGAAGGAACTGAAAGCTCAATCCTAAATAAGAAACAAAGGATAAATCTTTACACTTGTTAAAAAAATCAGGGAGAAGTATGAACCGGGCGATAGGCATGCATATCTACTCCTATGGGGGTGGGGATTAGTAAAAAAACAATGCATACTTCAGGCTGAAATGTTAGAAGCATAGAGTTGAAGTAGACTTTAGAAGGAACTGGACACTCAATCCCAAACAGGGAACAAGGGTCAAACCTCTACTCCTGTTCAAAAGACCGGGGAGGAGTGTGAACTGGATGATAAACATAATGGTTAGTGGTTTAGAAAAAGAAATTAGTGAGATGTGTTCAAATTCCTGTTAAGTTTTTTTACATTCATTTTCGTACAAATAACCTTGGGAAAGGAATGACTTTTTTTCTTCTCTACTACCAGCTATGGATTCAATAGCAGCACAAACTGAGCTCTATAGCCATGGTTGGCAACCAGTCTAAGAGAAGGACAATTATGAATTCAAAACAATATGTAACCCTGGCAAAGCAGGTGAGGCAGAGAGGTAAAACATATGCAATGGAAATTCAAAATAAGCTTCAATAAGACTTTACTAAAAATATTTAAAATTGAAAATATGCATATTAACAATAATTAACTTAAAAAAATGTGTCATTAATTTTAATATTTATTTACATATCAACATAATCTGAAAAATAGCCTGTAAAAAAAGAAATGAAAACAAACAACTACAGTTATTTATTTGTTAATAGTTATTTTCAAATATAAATGAGTGTCAGGACATAACACAGGACTAAATCTCTTGTATGTGAAAATGATTATTCATCTCCAGACGTCATCAGTTTTTATCAATGAGTGGGTGTTTGGCCTTTGGGGGAACTTTCTCTGAATATGGACCTCCTCCTTGAAGAGTTGTGACAGTCTCTCTTTTTCCTCTTAGGAGAAACACTTAAATAACTTCCTGTCATCAGGTCATCCCATGTGTGCACATCCTAAACACAGCTAGTTTGACCACATTTTTACATGTTAGGGGCAGCTAGTGACATCTTTTGAGGCATGAATTTGCGTTTGGTGGCTATGAGGTTACCTTCTTCTTCAACCCTCTGATTCACATGGCTACTCAGGTGCTCTGCTTTGAAAATGAGTGCAGAGTCTATTCTGGTATTATCTAAGGTAACATTTCTCAGCAGGTGCACCCAGCTGAAAAGTAGCCAGGTGTGACCCATGTTAACAGAAGAGTAATTTATGAATTATTTTTATATTTAAAAAAGAAATTTATTTTTAAAAAGCTAGAGACACCAAGCACATGGTTTCCTTGTCTAAATCAAGTCTTTGTCATTTGATATTTTAAACCGAACGCTAAATTCCTTAATCCTTAAGGAGTGGATAATACTTTCTCTTTTGCCTTCCTCAAGGGATTTAAATCAGCCATTATCAACCTCTCTAAAAAAAAAAAAAAATTCTTCATAAATCTCTTTAAATGAAAACTGTATCGTTAATCCTCTTTGGGAATGCTGAAACAAAATTTCATATTTTCAAATTTCATGGCTAATTTAAAATTTAAAGTGCACCTCAGAGTTTATGGTTATTCTACAAGTGGAACCTGAAGTAAAAAAATGATTGAGAAACACTAACCTAAGGTGAACCCAGTACAGATTGGAGTCCCCCGCCCCGGATCAATTTCTCTTAGAACAAAAGTTTGTTTCGGTTTAGAAAATCTGGTGTTTCCTGACATAAATCACATCAAAGCTTTGTTTTATTTCCATCCTTTTTTTTTAAAAAAAATATAATTTATTCCAGGTTTACTCTCATGAAAATTAATCAAAAGTGAACCCCCTTATAAAATCCACATATAAATCAATATACTGACCCTACAAAACTTTAGCTTAAAGAACAGAGATTGAGAAATCAATTAAAAAAAAAATGTAATTAAATTAGCAGTTGTACAAATGTAAAATTACCATTATCTTTTTAACCACTAAATTTATTTATTAAATTGAAAGATAGAGTAGCAAAAAACGACTTATTTTAAAGAAAATCAATGATTCTGTATAGAATAAAAATAAAAACTTTGTATAGATTTTTTGAACTTGTGAATTCTTTAGAAAAGGACCAAATTTTGAAGAGTTGTTATGAAAGAGACATTAATAGCTCCTTTGAAGTTGGCGAAATAATAACCAATGTAAAAAGCTATGTTAATTTTTGAGTTTTGCTTATTGGTAACAAATAGCAATAAACTTCAAAGAGACCAGCACTAATGCAAATATTGTCATTTTATAATTACAGCCTATTGAACAGAACAAAAGATCTGTATGATTAGTTTTACATTCAAATAGATTTTTTAAATCTACAAATTCTATCTGTAAAAATAGTTCTATATTAATTTTAATGATTCAGCTTTAACTTGAAAAAAAAGTTTGTCAGTAGATTTTTTTGTGTGTTGGTGAGTTCGGGAATTTGAACATATAAAAATGATGACAGTATCATGAAAATTGACTATTGGCTGAAAAATGATTGTTAAAAAGTTCTGTGGCACTACAAAATCCAGTGTAATTATTTTAATATATTAACTATTCTTTTCATTTTAAAATGATTTAACTTTTAAAATAAAATTCATTTTTAAGGTGTTATTTTTTTTTTTTACTGATTTCATATAGAAACATAGTCACCAATTTTTAGAACTAAATTTTCTTCATTTCTCATCTCTGTCCAATATGTAATATTTGTTACTTATTTTAAATATGTTTTTATCTCTAATCATTTTGTTTTTTATTTGTATCTGATGTATTTATTTCATTAAACACTTTCTATAGAAAATAAACTATTGCTATTATTATTATTAAGAAAGTTCATTTTTCCCTGAACTGAGATGTCACTCTTGGTCTAAATCAAAAAAATGATGATGCCAAGGGTAAGAAATTTAATATTCACACACAAGTTGAAAGAAATGAATATTTGAGCTAAATTTGTCTTTGATTAAAAATCATTTTCAACCAACCAACTTTAGTTGTATATAACTGTTGACATAATTTACAAAGAGGGTGCTGAAAACTTCTTCCTAGAACCAGTATTCTAATGTTCGGTTGTTGAAACATTTATGATTAGAAAGTGGAGTCAGGTTGAAAAATTTTCAGCACCCCACAATCCTTTATAGATTTCTTTGCTAGAAGGAAGAGAGGCCACCAACTGTGGCTTATACTGAGAGTGATATGCAACAACTAAATGAACACTTTCAACAATGCTTGCACTGCTCTTTGTCTACACTGTAGTGATGTATCAGTTTGCACTAGGGAAGCCTTACATAAAGCCAAATATTTGCATATACAACAAAGCGTATAGGTATGGTTGATAACTTTATTTATCCTGATAGCACCCAATCAAGAACATAATTAGTGAAGTTGCAAGGACCAATAATGCAGCAACTATGGAGACAACATGGAATTTCAAAAATCATTACTGTATGTGTGTGAAACATGCTATCACTTAAAGTAGGTTGAGGATTTTCATCAATGGTGCTTGTGTCTTGGCATCAACTGGAAAATACATGTCAGCGACACACAGGTGCTTGAGTAAAGCGAGTGCAACAAAAATGAAGCAACGATTCTCAAGTATAGGTTGGGTTGGGTATGTTGCTTTCATGAGTGACAACAATATTCCAAAATTGCTTTTGCATGAAGAGTTTGCTAACAGAGGTTGACCAGCTCATAAGCCAAAAAAGGATGACCTGAAAGAATCACTAAACCTTTCAAACATACGACTAGGAGTTCCATGCAAATGATCAAAGCAGCTGGTGGAAGAAGGTTCATAATGGAAAGACTGCTTTTGAGAACTCTCAAATTGTAAAAAGAAAAGCCAAAAAAGGTCATGATACGGAACTTCCAGTTCATGTAGGTGACGAGCATGACCCTCCCCTGTGATGTCTGTGGCAGGCCATGCTTGAGTAAAACAGAAAAATTAAGTTATATGTAAAGTCATCAAAGCAGAACACTAACCAACTACAAAATGGCATTAAGTATTGAGAATTTGTGTCATATTTGTGGAAAAAGCTTCAAGTTGGCTGATAGTTTCTGAAAGGATATGCAAGCAATCACAAAAATACAACTAATGACAACAAAATGCATATGTCTCCTGTCTACCAACTTTGAAAGGATATGGCCCTTTAAAAACTTTTAAAATTGGTCAGAGGTTTTAAAATTTTGTCCAGTTTAAAGGACCATATCCTTTCAAATCAAAAGTAACTTTTACAATGATATTTTGTAATGGTCATACTAGACAATGGCAACCATACACACACACACACACACACTTTTCCTCACCAGTTTTCAATCAGAACCTGACAATTGCATTGTGCATGAAATGCAAAGTTGTGGTACTGGTGCGAAAAAAAATGTATATTTATTATTAATATGAATTTTAATTCTATTATTATACAGTCAGCAATATTTTATTAACACCAGCACTTAATGTGTGATATTTTATGTTCATGTATGTCTGCATGTATATTCCGATCCAGTATATATACTGATAACTTTAAAGGTTAAAAAAAAAAAAAAATAGGTCTATAGGAAAAGGTCATTCTAAATGTTGACATAATTATAAGTATAAACTGAATTTTAAAATAGGCCAGTTTATTACTAAATGTCATTTTCAAATGTTTATAATAGTTATTGGCAACCTTTTCCAACCAGTGGGCCATTTCAGATATGGCTCATTATACAGCAGGCCATACTACTAAAAAGATTTCAATGTAATTTTTCATCAAAGGTGCCTCAGCCATTTTCATCACAGAAGACCATACGTCATATAAACATCTGCCATAGAAATGGCAGGTGGATTGTTTCACAATAATTAAAAAAAAAAATGAAGTCTTGGTAAAATATTATCATAGATGACAGTGATTAACACTGTTGCATTTGATTTGTTTCATATTTATTCATTTAACTGTGCAAAATACAATTTTTAAAATAAATATTTCTTCTTCAGAGAAAAAAAATGATTATGAATATCCTGTTTCTAAAGCAAATTATATTTACACACATGGTCATCCTTAGTGAAAATCACCAATCATTTAAAATGATGAAAACGTTACTTTCAACAAAAAGTTACAAAGTTCAAGAAACATTGTATTTAATCATTGTCTATATATGTGGTTATGTAGAAGAAAATGTGAGTGAACAAGTGAGGACAAAATGGAATAAACAAAATTTTAATTAACATTCCTCATGAAATTCAACATGCCATTCAATATGCCAAACAAACATCATGCGACCCATGTGCCGCAGTTTGCCCATAACTGGTTTATAAAATAAAATTTTTGTTGTCTGTTAAAACTGTCCAAGTCACCGAGATGGCTTAAAATATATAGCAATCTCAAATGACATAGATGTTTTGCTAATCATTTGTTTTGTTTTTTTTTAAATATTTTAAGAGATTCAAATTAGAGTAGGAAGTAATAAGATTGATTTTAATAGATATGACCATGCATATTATTTGTCATAAGTTTGCATCCAATAAAATTTGAAAAAAAAAAAAAAAAAAAAAATGACATTACTTTCTGTTTTGTTGTAAATAGGAAAGGTGGATACACATATAGAAAATAAGTAGTTTATTCCAAAGAATAATATGGTTCACAGTTGAGAACACAGACTAATGTAATAAACAGTTGTTAACTCCTTTCCCTCTAGAGAGAGTGCTGTTTAAATAGTCTTACAACCAGTCCATTTTGTGGGGGTGTTCTGTTACTCCACAACACTTTCAGTTATGTATATTTTTATAAAAAAATTTTAAAAAAACTTTATTTTATTATTTTTTTATGCATCTCAAAGATATGAACCTGAGGGAAGTGGAATGATTTGTACATGTGAGAAAAAAAAATATTTCAATCTGTTGGTCAAATCATCAACCCAAAGAAAGTCTCACATAGTCTTTTTATTTTATCCTTTATTTTTCTCTAGGATCCATATTTTAGGCTTTGTTAAAACATTTAAAGGTGGAAATAATTTCCAATCAAGTTTTACACTGTGAAAAGCCTTAATGTTTCCAAGTATTGTGTGAGTCTCATGGTATGTCTGTAATATTTGGTCATTTTCACTGCTAGCACCAATTAACAAATGGGTAAAACTTTGCATGTCTGGACCCCCAGGGGGTAAGTCTTCTGTCTTGTTGTATCTGAAAAATAAATAAATATGAAAGAGGTTCTGAAAAATTATTTGCCTGGTTAAAAAAGAAAAAAAAAAATAATAGATTTAAAATAAACAATCTTCAGTCAAATTTTTGAAAGTGGACTTGGAATATCTAGGTGTGGGGGTCCATAACATTTGCATGTTCTGTGACACCCAGAAAGGACCACACAAGGAAGTGCCAGCGTTTGTGCCAGCGTCTGTGTCAGCATCTGTGCCAGCATGTGTAGGGGAAGATCTGACAACCAGAGGAGCTCCTGTTTTACAGTGGCAATATTCTCTTCTTGTTCTGCAGTTCACTTCAAAAAGGAAGATGACTTAAGGCCCCATCATGTTGAAACACCAGTTCATGTATGATCACCAGTTAAGCAATGTCAAGCCTGGTCAGTACTTAGGTGACCACATGGGAATACCATGTACTGTAAAATTGAATGTGCAAATAGTGTAATGAATAATAGCTAAGAATTGATAATTGGAAAGAAGAGTTCCAATTCCAACTGGGTTCATTATATTCACTTACTCACAAATACTCTTGGGAAATGTATCAATCTAACTCTTCTCCCCTAGCTATGGGTTAATTAGTAAGATTTATATCACTAAAAACATTATTATCACAGAAAAAAAAGAAAAGAATTGCATACAAAATATTTAGATTTTAGCATTATAGAACCCATAGGAGGTTGATATGCCACTACACCAAAACAACCAACTGACTGACTTCTCTACTGAGAAGGAGTTGATTCCACTGGAGATGATAATCATTTTTAAAGAGGCTTTGTATCCCATTCCACTAGTCAGGGTCAAGTACAGTAAAGAGAAGAATCTTCAGAAAAGAATAAACATTTCTCTTCACCATATAGCCTGCCTGCCTGCCTTCTATTGGGGATTCTTTTGCAGCTTTAATGTTTGCAACACTGCCTGACTTGAGGATGCCTGTGTTAGTGATGAAATCACTACAATGCCCATTGACACAGAGACAATGATGATGGAAGTATTTTGAATAGCTATGGATAACACTGGTATATGACTCAGGATTCAGGTTTATCTAGAAATATGGGCAGTACAATGTCTTTGCAGTCTTATTTTTTGAAGTTCTTGTTTCTCCAGAAGTTTGCTTTAACCAGTCTGCTATCTCTTTCTCCACCCCACCCGACCCCCAATCACACTAAAAGTCATTCCAGTCAAACCTTTTACTACAACAGTGATCCTTCTGAAGAACATATTTCCAATAGGCAAAGTCCTGGCCTACTCTACCATTAAAATCACCAAAGACAATGATTTCATCAGCTGCAGGGAGATTTATTAAAAGGAGCTATAGATCACACTGAAACTTGCATTTCTCCACTGAGTCTATTTAAAGGGTTGAGTCATATACACTGAACAGTGTACTTTGTTGCTTGTTGATATAGTCTGAGTGACCAATTGAGATGTTGGCAAATTTACAGACTGAGAGTTCTTCACCATGAAGAGGCACCCTTCTATTTGTGGCTGGCATTGGATCAGCCACAAATGTAAGAAGATGTAACTGCTTCATGTTCTTTCAACATTGCCTTGACCTGGGGAAAAAAAAAACCCTCTAAAAACAAGATTTCTTAACATGGGCCATGAGAGATTTTTAGGGGTCACAAGGCCAAGTTTGAAAATGGGAGGTCATGAGGGGATACAGAAAATTTAGGGTACACAAAATATATGAAATATTTTATAATTAATAATTATTATTTAAAATAAAATATTAAACTTCTTATTAAGTATTAAGTATTAATCTGAGCCATTTTGTTAACATAAATATTTATTTATTGTAATTTTTTTATCTATGCAAAATGGTTGTTTTTAGTTTTCAATTTCTTAAAATTTAAAACTCATAATTTCAAGTTTAAATTAAGGTATGTTTTCACCAACTTGTCTTTCAATTTTTCTTTTTGTATTTGTTAATTTTATATAATTCACTTGTTTGCTAATAAATCTTTCATTGGGTATATTCCCTGATTTTCTTAAGGTTGCTAAAATAATTCAATTACCAAAAAATGGGAAAGCATTCTCCTTGTCAAACTTTCCACCAATTTCTGAACTTTCAAACTTCTCTAAAATTTTTGAAAAAAATATTTTCAGCAAAATGATTTCTTTTATCAATAAGTATAATTTAGTTTCTTCTCATCAGTTTGCTTTTTTTTCTGGATCATCAACTGAAAAAACAATGATGCATTTTTGCTTGATATTTTTGACTCTTTATAAAGAGAATTTTTCTCTGACTATTTTTCTTGACTAGTCAACAAAAGCCATCAATAGGTGTGTACACGGCAATACAAAGGGAGATAATCAAATGATTTTTTTTTTCAGATTTGTTGATTATAAACAATTACCAAAAATCAGGGGGTCATCCAATTTTAATGAAATTTTCAGCATTTTAAGGAATTAATTTTATAATGAACTGAAAAAACTGAGAAATTAATCTTTTTTCACTTAACCGTGGGGGGGGGGGTTCAAAGTGTGGTCATTTGAAAAAAAATTTTCCAATTCCTAATTTTATCTTTTTAGAAAGATCAAAATGAGAAGACCACATATACTAAAAAAAAAAAAATAATATAATTTATGACTGAAAAAGTTACTTGAAATTTTTAATTTTGTTTTTAAAAATCTCAAAAAATATTTTTGCAGCATGTTTTTCTCTTGTAATTTTAAAAACAATGCTTTTTTTTTCTTTGGGTTGATTCAAAAAATAATCTACTCTGATACAACTGACTAAAATTATATTCACTTAAAATTTAACATTAAATTTTAAAATCCAGGGACCCCATCATTTGGGTAATTAAAAAATATGTATTTAAATAAAGATTTATTTAATCTTTCAAAAAAAATGTATGATTAAAAGTTTGCTGTCATGGCATTCATATTTTCCAAGATTTTAATATATTTAAATAAATAAAAAAAATTAATAACAAGTTATGGAATACTAAAGGGGATTACGGAAGAAAATAAAGGTTTTCCCTTTTTCCTTCAAAATACCCTGATGTGTTATTCAATTTCAGTTTCAAATTTGGAAACAGTCAGGTTTCACTTAACCCTCTGCGCTGCATTGTTTTGTTTATTTTTTTAAAAAGGCTGACAATTTGACAGCCCTGCACCAGTCACAGGGATTCCATTGAAACCATACAAGATAGAGCTAATGGTACATGTATTTTTTGTTTTGTAAATAAATGAGCTTATCCAAATAATATTATTCTTTGATTTAAAACTGGAATTAGTGTTTTGATGCCATAGTACTATCTAAACTATAACCTTTAATATTTCTACTTCTTTAGATGTATTAAGTTGAGGGATGGGGGTGAGAGGGAAATGGGTGGGTGATATGAACTCAAGTTGGCACGGGAGCCCATAAAGAACTCATATTAGGTTGAAGGAGGCCACAACCAGAATAAGGTTGAGAAACATTGCTCTAAATGACAACTATGATGCTCTGATAGTGAGTTTTTGCAAGCTCAAGTGTAATTAGAGCAAAATGATTTCATGATCAAATTCAGCTAATGCTCTGCAGAGTGGTTCTCATGTTCAAGTTATAAACAAATTCATTGTCTGCAAGTTTGTTTCATGTTTTGTGTGAACCAGTGAACTCATCATTCTTTATCTTGCCCATGTTATTATCACATTTTGGCTGAGCCATTCTACAGCCTTCTTCACATGTATAATCAATAAAGAAATAGAAGGGATTTTTTTGGCAGAAAGAAAACACAGAACAGAAATTAGTAGATCATACATTAATTGGTTCAGTCTCCTCCAAGAATTTTAATTTCCTCACAAAGGATGTTCCCTAATTTATTTTGCTAAACAAGAAAAAAAAGTCACTTTTGCTATATGGGTGCCAATGAATGGTATCTTCTGTGTGTCTAGTGGAATGAACTGAACCATTTAGTATATTTCCTACCAGTTTCTGTTTGCTAATTTGTTTTCTAATATATATCTTTATACTTGAAGAAGATTGAAGAATGAACTGACTGATACATTGTGGTAACAACATCAATAATAAAGTCTGCATACATTTTTGAATATGTATCATCCAAACAGTTTAACCCTATTTATTAAATACAAACTCTTTTGCTACCAATAATTATAATGAAAATGTAAATTATCTCTTTGTTGCCAATGCAATTTTAATGTTATAATAGAAAGTGGCATGATCTTTTACATGGAAACCAAAATAAAGTATAAGAGATTGTAGAATTTACCTCCATTTTGGATTTTGTTGAAGAAATCGTGTGACACCCGTTTGAGCAGAAGCCACATCAATATGGACATGTACATCTGAAAATATGTTGAAGTCAAAACCATTAAACAATACAACAATGTTTTTCCTTGAAACTTTAATTTCCCTACTTTTCATCAGAAAAGATTTTGTCTCTAAGATTTTTTTTTTTAACAAGGGTCAGTCCATTAAATAATGCTTCCTATTTTATTATGATGAACCTTGACATCGAAGGTGGATTTCGATAGTATGACAATAGAGGTTGAAGCTTCCGAACAACAATCCATCATTTATTTGCATCATTACAGATAGCAATCTTGAAAAATAGCATGCAACATAAAAGTGCATATAAAGCTGATGTGTCACTGGCATTCCACTAAATGTTGTTCATTTTGTTGTTGGCAGAAAAGCATTCTCTTCGACAAGATGACAACTGCTCATATAAGATAGCAGCTGTAAAATGCCTATCTCTTGAAGGACAAAAAGACACTGATCTATGCAAATTATATGCAATCTTTGTATTAATATCAAATCAAAATATTACATTTATTATGAGCTTTTATAGAAGAGATGAATTCTGATGAATTTCTTACCTGATGATGGATGTTCTAGCTGATGAAGACGTTGTATAGCATTCCCACCAGGATAATTATGGTGAGACAGGTAAAGCATATATGAGGTGAAAAAGATATTGCCAAGAAGGTGTAATATCATGAAGGCAGCAAAAAGCCCAGATTTCAGAGATTTTTTCCGATTTTTCCATCTGTAAGAAAAATGATTAAGATCTTTCAGTATTATATATATATATATATATACACACAGAGACATGTGTGTGAGGACCATGTTTGGAAATTAAAACATTGTTTTAACTCTAGATACATACATGAAACAATTCATACATTCAGTTAGAAGTAAAAATATAATCCTTGATAATGGCTAAAAGTGTAACTGAAAGTACTCAAGCATACAAAACATTTGGACAATTTCTACATAATTTATGTCCAGAAAAAAATAAGAACACAAGAAGTATTAAATAAAAAAAAAAAAAACTTAATTGCATTACCTTGTCAGTCATTTGTAATGAGACAAAAACAGAAATTTTATATATATATATATATACACATATATATATATATAGAAAAGGGGAGATCTGAACAGTCATCATAAGGCAAGGCCTGGATTGAAGTGATCAATTCATAGATCAGTCATGGGTGTTGGACACTTGTACAACCAGGGAGGTATTTCAAGGCAACAATTGGTTGCCGTGGACCAGGACAGAATCAGATAGTGAGAGTTCACTAATTAGAGTCTTCAACAGTAAATTTATGTCCTGTTACTTACAGCAGATTACATTTCTTAACTACTGCTATTACAATGCAAGATATTTAAAAACAATGGTGATGAAAAGAAAAACAAAAAAGGCAGTAGGAAGTTGAATGATGTTAGCTTGGCTGTGCATCAGACACCAGAAATTTAAAGTTAAACATCCCTGCATATTCAACATATCTCTCAACATATTAGAATCAATGTTTGTTATAATTTGGTCCCTCCACCATATATATATATATATATATATATATATATATATATATATATATATATATATATATATGCATGCATGTTTCATTAAAACGACAGACAAGGTACTACGATTAAGTTTTCATTTAATTTTTCTTGTGTTCAAACAAGTTTTCTTTTTTGGACACAGACTGAGTATAAATGTCCTATAATTTGACCACATTCAGCTATACTTTTAGCCATTATCAAGGATGATTTTATTTTTCAATTGGGTGTGTGTTTGTATGTACGTTTTTTAGTGTTATAGATATAATTTATTTACCGAACACAGCACATTGTGGTTATGTTCATACTTAATATTATTAAGTGTTGGCTTTTTCTTTTTTATTATTTTTTTTTTATTCTTTTTTTTTTTTTTTTTACAAGTGGATGAGGTTATTATGCTCGTATTTTCTACTAGTATGCTTCGGATGGAGTCTGGTAAGTTTGTGTGTGTGTTTAAATGGATTCTAATAAAGCTGTGATCAGATAGGTGTAATGTAAGGTACCTGGATAGGCATGTAGTCATGTGATCAATATAATTATTTATGAATCTGGTTTGATCAGGAACACAGTTCCTTTACGGCCTTTGAACTCATAGATAATGTTCGTTCATTGTAATTTTGATTTTGCTAGTGTGTTGTTATTTTTGAGGATAATGTCAGCTGTTTTAAATTTTTTGTAATAGATAATTAATTTGATTTTTTTTATTCAGGTCAAATGGGGTAGTGTATTTCTTTATAATATTTCAAATAAAAGATTCATCTTGTTTGTAGTCAATGTGCATTTGGTTTTTGTAAAAATATGTTATTTTTGACTGTATGTTCACTATCGTTGTTATTTACTTTGGGGAGAAATAGTATAATTTGGTGGTCTATAAGGTTGTTAGGGAAGCCATTGTTAACTAGTGTCTGTTTTACATTGAGTTCTTTAAGGAAGCGTAGTCAAGAGGATGAATTCTGGTGTGCTCTTTTTAGAAAGTTTTTTATTAATGCTATTTTGTATCTGAGTGGGCATACACTTTTAAAGTTAAGGTGACAAGAGTTTCTGCTAGTGGATTTTTTATATAATGTGGTGATAAAAGTGTTGTTACTGTCGTTTTTAATGAAACATGCATAAATGAGGAATTGCTATCTAAATACACAATATGATACCAATCCATAAAAACACTTAGTCTTTTCAAGGTACGAAACACATTACCTAGGATTTTTCCCATTTTGTCATTCAATTACCAACCATTAATCTGATTTATACAGCTTTTATATACTCTCATTGTATTTTATGCAAAATATAAATAAATAAAAAAATAGTGTTTACTTACGCTTTGCTTAAAACACAGGCTACTGAAACGTTGAGTATAGGAAAGACGTAAATAATGAAACGCATCTCCTTGTGAGGTAAAAGGGAGTAAATAAAAATGTAAAGTATAGCAGGAATAATCAGAATGCGTGTCAATGGTGTGTTGCTCAGACCAACAGGAACAAGAACAGTGCTGAAGCTTAGAACACGAGGAATGGCAGAGTAAAAATACCAAAAATATGGCATTGTCTGCAACAAGTTCAGGAAAAACAAACGCAAAGAAAAAAATAGGTTTTTAAAGAAATAATTTTTCTTTAATGAATTTCATCAAATATTTGTCAGATTAAATAGATGTTAACCGATTTTTTCTCAATATAATTTTCTTTATTTTCAGTGGTTCCCAAACCTTTTTTCTTAGTGCTGCATTTTCAAAAGTAAAATTTGCTCACTCCTCAAATTTTATGTGATAAAAAGTACAGTTAAAATTAAAAAACAGAGAGAAGGTTAAAGATAATCGTGGGTTTGAAGACAGAACATTATCATTGATAACTCTCCTCTAATTTGCAGACCCTAGTTACTATATTCTTAATACAAAAATATCCCAATGATAAAATTGGTCAATAATTATTTATAACTATTTATACTGGGATTCATGTATGCACTTAAAAGTAATCCATAATAATATTTAAAATTTTGAAATCATATTTATTTTTAGCATGCAAATTTTTTTGAAACTGTTTTGAAATCTTTGTTTTTCAATCATTCTGCCTCACCTGCTATCCTCTTCTGCTGCACATTTATGAGGTGAGCTGCACTTTTTGCAAACCACTGATTTAAATAATCAATAAAAAATGTTTGAGAAAAAATAAGTTAATGCAAAGAATAGTATTAGAAAACAATGTTTTCCTATAGTAAAATCATTTGTAATGCATTTACATAATACAACAAGTATTCTGTTAATAATTCTAGCATTATTTCCTGACCACTAAAAATTCAATATTTTCCAGATTTTTGACATAGACAGACTGAATACTAAAATTGGTTCAAATAAATTTTAGATATAAAAACATTTTTAAAAATGCAAATTTTATTGCTTAAAATCATCAAATTACACTTTTTCATTCATTCAAGCCCTATTATTAATAAGCTTCATTACTCTGTATAAAGATCAACTCACACAAAGAATGAGCTACTGCAAATTTTTTTTGCGGGGGGAGGGGGACAAAATAAGTTTGAAATGCTAAACTTTCTAAATTATTCTATTTGATGTACCTGTTCAACACATTCACTATGCTATGGGAATAATACTGGTATCTGCTTAATTCATGTATATGCTTTTAGTATTTGCTATGTTACAATACTCTTAATTATTAGGGTAAATGAAAATTTGACAGAACTGTTTAATAACTTCTATATGATATCATAGGTTATATAAACATCAACAAGGTCCACCAAAATCAGCATAGTAACTTCAATTTAGAATGAAGGACATCAAATATATAATTGAACAACAAACTTTGTTTCAACTCAATTCATATTTAAGTGATGTCTTGAATAAATAGATTAATTAAACGTCTGCATTTTATGATAATAAATGCTATTGTAAATGCAGCCTAAGAGAAAAAGAAAAGCTTCAACCAGTTGGAGAAGGACCAGTGTAGGAAAACTCCCCCCTCTGATTTTCAACCTCATATCTTCTCCTTGTGGCAAATGTAAATAGCCTAAGTCCCCTGGTGGTAAGCAGAAATAACCTATATGTTTCTTTTTTGTTGTTGTTGTTGTTTTTAACTCCTACAATTCCAGATTTCTATGCACATTAAAAATATATTTATATAACATTATTTCCTTTATTTATTGTTCAAATCTCTACACTATTTTGGTAGACACTATCATTACTGAAAATGATAAAAGTAAAATAAAAACACTAGATACTACAAAACTTTTTTTTTTTAGAAGTAGACTTTAATTTCAAAATAACCAAAAATACTAATTCTCTATAAAAAAAAAATAAAAAATAAATTTTGGTAAACGGTATTAAAATTTATTTTCCATTTCTTCACACTGTCTCAAAAAAGTTCTACATGAAAAGGATACACCCCATTGAGAACTTTTGTTCAGCACTGTGTTAAACCAAAGAACTTCACCTTCTGGCCAAAGCCACCGATGCCAAAAGAATGAATCAACCAAAACAGTTGCTCCTGAAGAAGAAATAAAATCTCAAAGTAATAAATGACATTCAGGTTGTACAAATCCAGACAGCAAAGAAAAGACCATAATATCCCAGATTGGCATTTATTTCATAAAGTTCATTTTCTAAAGTTTAACTTAAATGATTCTATTCTAAATAAAATTTCAAAGATCTGATAAACTTAGAAAAGCTTTGATATATAGCAGTCACTGGCTTCAACATTAGCAATATTGGTCACCATGCCAGTGTTTATATTCCAGAGTAGAGTGATAAGGAACATATATTTTGCTCAATATGATTTTACTTACCATCAACCATTGTTACAACATTATAAGTAAAAAGTGGCAACTAAAGTACTGTTGAGTTCAAGGATATACAAAATATTTTTTAGATTTAATATCTTTAAGGGTTCAAATGTTAATATTTAAAGAAGACTATTATGACATGGCTATTATATAGCAGTCAAGACTTCACAAAATCACAATCATTTTTGTTTTCATAACTACATTGATTTTTCTCCTCTTTCATTAATACTTGCTTCAAGCAGACTTTTTTGCCAAAATAGTGTATTAAATCCCTATACCAATGCCCTAGAAAAGCGATTATCTCCCTTTTGACAGGACAAATTTACTGAGGTCTTAAGAAGCCTTTGAGTCACATGATGGCCCATTGGTAAGAATAGTCAGTTGCTGCTTAGCTCACCATAGTAGATGACATGATTCCCATGCATCAGAATAGGAACCTATGACATATCATTGTCACTCTTGGGGATATTAAAAGTAAGACCTTTTATTTTCACCAATTCAGTTATTGTTTGCTTCTTTATTACATGTTTTCATTTCCCTGTGTGGGAAAATTTTTGACATACACATACACAGCATATTAATATTAGATGCATGTGTGAGAGAGAGAGAGAGAGATAAAAGCATACAGGATATCCTAAAAATAAATAAATAATAAATTTCTCCCCAAATATCAAATATTGGTGTTTTCCATGTATGAAAAGAAGCTATCTAAAACAATTGTTATTCAATAAATGAATCCATAAATCACTTGCACATTGCTGAATATTAAGGTAATTTTTATACATACAAGTTTCATTAAATATCACAGAGCAGGATTTTGTATCCATAGATTCTAACAGCTTTCTGAATTAGATTCTTAGATTGTAATAAAATTCTCTAAGTTCTTAAGAAATCTCAGCAGTTTTCTCTTTCATCCTCAAAATTAAAAAAAAGGATTTCACAGAAAATTTTAAAATTTCACTGTTACATGTTAGAATCTGATAATTCTGACAGTTAATTGTGCTGTTTTCTTTTTAATAAAACATCTTAATGATACATGGTATATTAATTTCAGGATTTTATCTTATTGTACATGTATACAGGAGTTCTTAAAAATGTATTCTTCATTTAATTCACACTAAAATATTATCACTATTAAAAACTATCAATATAAATAAGAGTTAGCATTGAATACTGAAAATGCAGAAAGAGAATAGACTTACCTAAGATGACAATTGCTGCAGGAATGGCTATACGAATGAATTTGGTAATGCGAAGTTTTTGATTAAATACCGCAATCAGGAGATACAGCCCAAGAAGAATGCCAAGTTCAAAACGAAAGACAAGTGTGGCAATTCCAGAAAACCATATAAATTGGACATGCTTTCTTTTTAACCAAGCTGAGAGAGCAAGGAGAACTGCAATTTCAAAAGGTGATAACAATCGATGAGGTGATAACAATGAGAGAGACAAAACAAAAAAAACTATTCTGTCAATGACAATCTAATGATACTTGGTTTTTTTTTCTTTAACTGATTAAACAGGGGTAATAACCATGTTTTTAATTATAAATTTTTAGTAGAGAGCAAACCAGTAGCCAGGAAGTATAAGCAAAGAAATCTAGTCGTAACTGAAGAAAATATGTCAGGTTTCAGTAGACAAGTTATTGTTTTCATAATAAAATTGATATTAACCAATTGAGGTTGGTAAAATTTTCAGGATATAATAAATATGCCATATGAAATTCAACTTATAACATCTCTTTACAAGAAATATTTATTATAACTTATTTGGGGTGTGTGAAATTTTAATACGTCACTTTAATTGAGAATATTCATATGATCTCTTCGTACTAAAACCTAAGGGAAATGATGTACTAATCCAACTCTTCCTGTGGCTTTTCTCATGATTACTTGTCCAAGTAGAGACAGCAAAATAACTGCTATCAGATAAACTGACTAATTAAAGGGAATATATATATATATCTTCAACATTATTTTTTTATTACTATAAACATTATTTTTAGTGGGTACACATATTTGGGTCCCTATCCCTGATTGCCCGCCCCCTAAACAGTGAAATTAATAACAACAGGGCTAGATTAAGAAGTCCTACTAAAGAAAGACTGTGCCTCCAACAGGAATTGAACATGTACCTTCTTTTTCATCAGGGGAACCACTTCTATAGCTGAATTGGTAAAGGCACATTTCAGCTATAGAAACAATTCCCTGATGAAATAGGGGATACAGGTTCAATTTCTGCATGAGGTACAAGCTTTCTTTAGTAGGACTAATAATAATCTAGGCCAATTGTTATTAATTTCACTGTTTAAGAAAATAAAAAAGTAGAGCAGCAACTCAAATATGTGTACCCACTAAAAATAAAGCTTATAGTAATAAGAAATTTTTTTCATTCAAAATTATAACAATGTTATAATTTTGAATAAATATTATTTGCTCTTGAGCACTCTTTTAAGAATAGTGTTTTTGGCTATCAGAATTTTATCCCATTGATACCAACCCTGTACTTATGTGTGTGTGTGTATATATATATATATATATATATATATTTATGAATAAAAATGACAATAGGAAAACTGGTAATTGCTGACGCGTTTCGTTCAATGTGGACTTTATCAAAGCAAAATACGAATTCCAGTTTTCCTATTGCCATTTTTATTCATAAATATTGTCTTCTCTACTGGTTAAATCATATATATATATATATATATATATATATATATATATACACACACACACACACACAGGGTGCAATGGGTAAATGGGTGCCATTTTATATTTTTTGTTTCATGCATTCATATTGTTTGCTTTTCATTTTGTTGACTGCACAGTATAATAGGGTCAGTTGGGCACCATCTGTGAGAAAAAAGAGCACCATGATGCAATTCACTCAGCCAGAAATTTGGAAACAGGATGCTGTACTTCTTGGCATTTGCGCCAGATGCTCCAATACAAACATTGGAGTGTGTTTGGCTGTCAATCTGTGTGCAGGGTAGAGGATTTGGAAAGAATTGGATGTGTCTAATGGAGATTACAAAAGTATGGCAGCTCGAAAAACTCACCCTGATCGTTCTGATAAGAACTCCCAAATTTGTTGGTGAGGGCCTCAGACTCAACAAGGAGGCCTACATCAAGTGCCTCGAAGAGGTAGTGCTGGGTCAAGAGGGTGGCTGCTGGAAGACCCTGTCTGGCAACATAACTCTTCACCATGCCACACAAGCAGGAGAACCCAGTCATGGCTGTCAGACAATTTTTGCAGCCACACCACCCCCTTACATCTGGCCACCTAACTACCCAGCCTGCAACCCCCTTGATTATTATGTGTGGGGCACAGATGATCAAGAAACTGACAAAATTCCTTGTAAGACCAAAGATGAACTGAAGTCGAGGCTTATGGCAGTATCCACCAACTTAAACAAGGAGACTGCCCAGAAGAGTTGCAGGAGATTCTGAGGTCGTAACCAATGCCAATTTTATTGAATAAATTTATTCTTCAGTATTTCAAGATATTTTTTATGTAATTTTGGTAAATATATCTCTTGAAATGAGATGTCAGTGTTATTTTCATTTTTGCATAATTTAGATGACAATTTATCCATCGCATGTTTTATTAAAGACATGGACCTGGTCCGTTTTAATCACTTTTTAGTGATTCACTCTTGTTTTTTATCAAAAAGGTGAGGAATATTTTGTTCCAGTTAGTAAATTTTGTCTGTACATGTTCAATTCTGTCCTGGGTATGACGATAAACTACATCTGCATCTAGGGTAAGATGATAAACTACGTCCAACAGCAAGGCCTCTGATCAGGAGTTGAAGAGTGTGGAACTAGCTCTTAATTGCTGGTGTTCCCAGCGCCACCTTGACCCGGGGTGGTAGCACCTGTTAGGGTCCCAGCTATGGGCAAATATTTAACCACCAAACTAGGGTCAAAATGTTATGAAAATGTAAAAATAGGTTTTAATGCCAGAAATACTTCATAAAAATGATTACCAGCAATAAAATTTTGTAGAAAAAAAAACTATTACCAGCAATCTACTTTTGAAGGGAAAATATTACCAGAAATAGATTTTTGACAAAAACAAAATATTACCAGCTAAATAAATTGTCGGCATTAAATAACCCATTGATGTTGATATGCTGTAAAACAAACCAAACATGTTCAATTGCTTTCAACCATTATTGATCTTTTTCAAAAATTGAACAGATTTTGCTTTTGAAACTCAAGAAAACTTTGCCATTTGTATAATGTGATAGTCTATATAAGGGAGAGGATTTCTGCAAATAGCCTTCAATTAAGTTGTACCAACTTTTTATAGTGTTGAAAGAAGCACAAATTGAATGCTTGGAAAGAAAAACAGAAGAATAAAAAAAAAGAAAACTTACCCAATCCAAGTGCCATGATGTTGGGTAACGGTCTTGTTATGTAGAACATGAAATGAAATTGTGAGATGATAACTGGAATCAGCCAGAAACTAACGTTTGGTCCAAACCAATGAGAGACAGCAGTTCGGAATTTGCGGAATGACCACAGAACATAAAGACCAAGGCAGTAACGAACTTTCAATTTGCAAGAAAAGACAAAAAAAAAAAAAAAAAATTTAGTTTAATATAAGTATCTTAGTTGTTTATAAATCTGAATTAGTAAATTTTATTGCATTACTGTATTTATTACTAATTTGTGCTGCTTCTTATTTTACGGAATTTCCTTTTTAAATGATGATAACATTTCACACAGGTTAAAATGTGTTGCTTTCTTAAACCACCATATTCAATATGTCAGAGTAATCAGGTGAAATAAGAAATTGTCATTAGATATTGATTAATTTGAAGTATTATTCTTATCTTGGTTGTTAAACCCAATGTTTCATTTATGTACTGTCTGACCAACTTCAGGTATACAAATTTGGCAGATATCTTGTATTATACAATTTTTGTGTCCCTATGATGTAATATCTTGCTTCTTCCTCTTGAATATAGATTTCACTACTCGATCAAGGTAATGATCAAAAATGAACACATGAAGAGGACTAGAAAATAATTGATTGAAACATGAGAACAATAGTTCAAATAAATCAATGTATAATGATAGTTTCACATCTTAAAAAAAATATTATCAGAGCAGGACAAACGTGCTTTGATAGTGAATGTTAAACCTTCAGACCTCAGATTGAAAGGTCACCAAAAATGATACTACCTGATGTCATTGATAGTGATGACCTTATGGATATAAATGTCACTTAAATAAGTGTTGCTGACACCAAGCAATCGTGAATTCAGTCTCTAGTTTTTGTAGTAAAATCTATACATTGATTCAGCATGATACAATGTCAGAGAGATAAAATAACACAAAAATCAATTAATTCTGGAAAGCCTGAACATAAAAACTGATTTGCAAGCCTACACAACACCAGCAGCCATCTTTACCACCATAGTTTCAAAACTGTTCACCAGATGTCAGTGATGCTTACTATCATATGTAATGCCACAAGCATTTGCAGGAGATTTTTCTTTTCGTTCAGGGAAACCAATGTCTGTTTATATCTAATACTTTCTAAATTGATATCTTAAATGATAACACAAGCATATTAAGAGCTATTTTGTATTAGCTTTATGAAATCTGAAAATGTCTGCAGCAGGGGAAAGCCAAAACATTGCATTTATAATAGCATCTATAAAAACCGAGATTAGTTCAATGTATCACACATGGAATGACATTAAATATTAATTTTCTCATGGTTAATCTAAAATAAATCATAGTCTAAGGTTCAAAAGTAGCAAGTTGGATAGGATCACTTCAAATTTAATAGCTGTGATAGTTACAACAAAAATTAACAAACTTGTTCTGAAAATCATTTTTGATTTTTACTGATGAATAGGAAAAAAATGCCAATTTTGATTTTCTCCCAAATTAGTAGCAAACTCAGATTACTTATATGAAAAGTTTTGTTTTTTTTTTTCCCACTTTTCTACAATAATGTCTAAAACCAGATGCCCAATCATAATTTTGTGTGGAAAATAACAATTAACAAATTAACTAATATCAAAATGTTCGGAAAATTTTAAGTGAAAAGGAAAAAAACTTACCAATATATTGCAGGAAAAGTTTGTTGATTTTTAGGAGATTAGCCAGATAGGCAAACGGTGCAGCCATGGCAGATATGACAAGCGGTCCAAGGAAAGTACGAGGAACAACTCCAGGAAATTCCAAATGATCATACTGAGTTAGAGGTTGCAGAAGAGAAATGTTAATCATAAATATAAAAAAAAAAATTTCAAATATTTCTTTACACTATTCTTTAGCCGTTATTGATTAACAATCAATTTCTTAACGTATAATAATCTTATGATTGTTAAAATAAGAATAATCTTTAAACAAGGAGGTAAAAAAAAAACATCTAAAGCAACAGATTTTAATCATTTTGCATAAACATCATTACTTTCCCCAAAGTTTCATCAGCTTCTAGTGATTAATAATACTACAAGGCTTTTTTCATTCATCCCAATATTTATGATGACCCTGGCAAAGAAAACAGCAACTTCACATTAGGATAGCAATTTGAATTTTCAAAGCCTTCCAAAAGGTACATTTTCTTGATTTGTTGAACTTAATTGAATCCTAATATGATAGGTATATAGGTAGAAAAACAATTTCTATATTGTCCTTATGTAGATACTTCCAGATTTGTGATACTTAAGGTTTAAAATTAATTTTTAAAAATGAAAAATCTTTCTTGAAGCTTTTATTTTAGTTTTAATTTCAAGCTAATAAATTCAATTTAATATTTCCAGTAAGCAAAATACTTTGCTGTATTGCAAAACTAATTTAAATTTGGATTTTGTTTTGAAATTCATAACATCACTGATTTTAGCACCATTTTTAGCCATCTGTCATCACAATGTAATTCTCTATATTAAAAAAATAAAATATACTTTTCTGAAACTTTATTTGATGAAGATTAGCAAATTTAAAGTTTAATTAATCTGATTTGAAACAAATATTACTTTAAAATATCACAGAAATGCATTTTTTAACATGGTAGTAGCTGTTGACAGCTTGAATGACAGACACAAGTTTATCTAATTTTTTTCTACAGTGAATATATCTGCAAAATTTATTTGAGGAATGTAATGTGAGCACCTTTTTTATATAATTTTTAACTACCCAGTAATCTTAAAAATTTAGGAAAATATTTTCTGTAATCTACCGTTTTATTGAATTTTAGGTGCTTTGGCTTTAAATTTACTATAGTTATTACTCTTTATTTTCTGATAATGTTGTTTATTGACGTCCATATTTACAAAAATTCCCACATTTATACACACAAAAAATTTCAAAATTCTTTTTAAATATTGATGCTCAATGAATTGTAGTAAGCTTTCCTATTTATGATTAGTAAAGATAGGTGATATTGTTATTAAGTAAAAACTAACTGACACAAGGTAATGCAGAAATTTAAAAGATTTAAAACTTTACTACTCTAATTTAAAAAAAATTAAAATAATTCTTGTAACAATTAATTATTCATTGAAAAAATTTTTTATTAACACAAGTGTCCATAATATATCTTATAAAAGCAATTAAAAGCTTTTCTAATTAAATAATGTCTTAGTTTTATTGAATTTTTTATTTCATGATTCAGAGCAGATTTTAGGTAACTGGTCTACCTATTTTACAAAAAAAAAAAAAAAAAATTGATGATTTAAGTTCTCCAAGGAGTTCTGCTTTTAACTAATATAAACATTAAGTGGCATAAAATTTAATTTTCAAAATTTCATAAAATTAGTGTGGGGGGGGGGTAACAGATGTAGAAAAAAAAGAAAGAAAATTATCTTTACTAAGATTTCTAAAATAATTTCATTTGTGAATAAATCCTGAAAGTTTCATTAAAATCTGACAATTATTTGATTTTTTCAAAATCTTTGTGTTTTTCACCACAAAAAAAGTCTAAAATCTACTATACTAATCTTTGACTAACACACTGACACGAAAACAAAAAAAAAGAAAAATTTTTAACCAAAACTTTGAACATTCTAAAAATTATGAAAAAACATAATTTAATAATGAAAATATCCTTTGGTCTTTCTTCTTAATAATAACAAAAATAAGATTTTGATGATAAAACTTTGTTTTAATTAAATTTGAAACATTTTTTTCATTATGATATGCTAATTTTTTTTAGCAAATCAGTGGAGGTACCTATCCTTATGTAATAAGAAGCTCCATCCAGCAAGACATGGAAAAAATCGTTAAGGCTGTGCATTGTCCAATGTCTGGTCATAGTTCAACAAAGGAGTAAGAAAAACTCTTTTATCCATATTGTATCTGAAAGTTATCCACCTCTCTTTGGAATACCTTCCAAAATTTCTGATATGAGTGTGCCATGTGAGCTATCTTCAATTATTCCAAGAATGAGGATTATGCAAAGTGTAGTTGTCAACAAAGTTTTATCATCAAAAGATGTTCAATTGTGTAGCTTTAGCAGAATTTTTTTTTGGAAGTAAATTGAGTTCTATTATCAGATACCACACTGTCAGGTACTCCAAACCTTGCAAAACGTTTGTGCAAGAATTTAGTCATTATCCTGATAGTCGGTTATTTACACTTTATAATTCACTAATCCAAGAAATGATTGTAGAGTTACCAAATTTATTGGGGGAGATATATCTTTAATAGCACTTGCTTGAATAGAATGTGGTCTTCTTCCTTTTTCATTGATTATCTGACCTAAATATTTAATCTTGTCCAGAAAGAATTGACATTTCTGTTCATTGATTTTGAAACCATAATTATGTAGTCTCTAAAGTACTTCCTGAATAAGTTTTCCGTGCTGTATTTTTGTAAGCACTTTTAATAAGTATATCATCTATGTAAGCAACAACAATTTGCTGGAAAATACCTGAGGCTACTTTTACACTAAAGAGTAATCTTTTTAACTTGTAGAGTTTTTTATGCATATTAACAGTCAAAAACTTCTGGCAATCATCATCAACTTTGATTTAAAGACATGCCTCAGACAAGTCAAATTAAAAAAAAAAAAATTACCATCATTTAATTTGGCAAATATATGCTCTGGAGTTGGTAGGGGATACACATGTGGTAGGAGGTAGTCATTCAATGCAGTTGAAAAATCTGTGCATAAACGAATCATATTATTTTTCTTTCTAATATAAACCGCTGACATGGCCCATTTTAAATAATCTATTTTTTTAATAACTCTGCAGTTTTCTCACCTATCCAGTTCAGTATTAATAGACCCTAACACAGCAAAAGGCATACTTCTTTTAAGATTAAACACTGGTACCACATTTTCTTTTAATTTAGAAAATGCCTTTGACTTTGAACATTTTCCCAGCTCCTCTGAGAAAATATTTGTGAATTTATTTTTTAGTTTACTAGTTTCTTTAACTGTAAAGAAAAATTAAATAAAAAGCTTAATCACAGTCCCTTGTCATTTGTCTTTAATGAAGCATGCATAAAAGAGGGATTGCTGCCCAAATACACAATATATCATTTTATCCAGCACTCACTATACAAACCTCACATTTGCAGCACACAGATATAGATATAAAAAAAAAAAAAAGGTTAAAAAAAAAAAAAAAAAAAAAAAAAAAGTTTAAAAAAAAAAAAAAAAAAAGAACAGGTGAAATTTCTTAAAGAAATTGAAATTCAAAGACTGAATAAATAAGAAGCAAAACATGGCCGCCTTAAATACCTCTGATATGTTCAGTTGATGGTAAAGAATATCATGCATTGCCTGCATGTTAAAACTTTCCTCCACTTTTGTGTAGGGGCAGACAATTAGGTGAATTGTCATTACAGCCAACATTAAATATTCCATCATCATCTTGTTATCAGGACTTGACTGAAAAAAATAAAGAAATCAAATAAAAATGCTGTTTAGAAGAAAATATCTTGGTGAATTGGTACTTCGACCGAGCATTTTCATAAAATAAATAAATCTATTTAAATGTTCATAAAAATATAATATACATGTTAAAAAGAGTTATTTCAGCATACAAATTTAAACAGTGTCATCTATAAGTACAAAAACGTACTGAGAATTAATCTTAAGCTGAAATATTTTATTACCCTTCAAATAAACTATTTGTTAATTAATGTCAAAAATTGTATTCATCTTCCAAAGAGACTTTGATTTCAGATTCTTAATACAAAGCAACCTCAGTTATCGAACGCCTCATGTGTCAAATCAGTTTTCAAACAGAATATTCAAGATGAAAATGTCTTGGTTATCAAACAACATTGCCAAACCAAGTTAACCCAAACGGAATCATTTCTTAGTTGACCTCTGTGTTGTATATATTCGTGTGTTGTACTGTGCTTTTCTAATTTTATTGTACTATGGCTTCTTTTTTTTTCCTCTTCATTAGTCCTCACTCATGGCTCCAAAGCTAGCAGTGATACTAGTAAAGGAAAAAGAAAAGTTAAGAGAAAAACAACTGTTGATGATATTGTCTCTTCTTACTCAGTTTCATATCACAAAATTAATGATCTATACTATTATAAATAAAGAGACGATCATGTCTTTCCTTTGCCTTTCCAAACAATAACATTTCTTTCCTTCCCTCATCAATTCTCCTACTTACAGGTATGGTAAAATTGAAGTGTTCATCTATATTTTATTTGTTTAGTATTTATTTTTTTCTTAGATTTAATGATTTTCATTAGTTTTGTGTTTAAACTTGTGTGCAAAATACTGTTGTTAAAGTTTAAATAAGCAATCATCTTTGGATCAGGAATGGATTAATCCATTTTACATTGGTTCCTATTGAAAAATAATTTTGGTTTGTGAACATCTCGGGTTACAAACGGGCTTCAGGAACAAATTAAATTCGTGAACCAAGGTTCCACTGTATATATTTGTGTAACACAAACCATATGCATCTAAAAATTCAAATGATTATATAAATTTTTATACTTCTCATCAGTCAATTCACACTAAAAAAAAAAAAAAAAAAAAAAAAAACAACCCTCATTAACAGAGATGCAGCAGAAATTCAGTTTTTTTCAAGACTACCACCTACTATCTATGATTAAGGGCTAAGGGATATTGTAGAAATAATAAAGCTGAAAATCACATCTTAGTTGATCTTAGATTGTTTTACCTTGGCTCAGATTTATTCCTTAAATGGATAAAAAATGTAGTTCAACTTCTGGGACAATAGAAATATGTATAATGAAAATATATAATTAAAATAAAAATGCTAAGTGCTACCTCCTTTGAATGGATGAAATGAATTAGATTTCATTTTATTGTCAATGATTGAGTCTTCAGAGACAATGGTCTAAAATTTCTATTTATTATTGGGGGGGGTCACAAAGCAAGGCAATAAATCGACTAAGACACAAGTAGTTACCGAGTGTGAAAAAATATAAGAAAAAGAAAAACATTAAGGAACGAGAATTAAAAGAACAGGAATTAAGAAGACAGTAGATAATGATTGATAATGCAATTAAATTTTTGACTGGAAAGCAAGAAGCCAGTTCCACAAGTGAGAAAAGAAACTGTTAGCATAGAATTTATGGTTACATCTAGCTATTTCAATTGTAAAATGATGAGATCATGCCACCAATGTAGTATTGCACTTAAATTCATAAAGTCTAGGTATCATAGAGGAAAGTTCAGCAGAACAATTACCATGAAAATATTTATAGAATAGACATAGTAAAGCTACATTAGTGGTGGAAAATTGACTAGAGCCGAGATGCCAGGACAAGACTAATAACATTGCAGATTCTTATTTGGATTTTATCAAAGATTTCTAAATATACAGCAGGAGCACCAGGTCATATGTGGCAGTATTATTCAAGGCCTGGACAAATGGTTGATAGTGATACGAGTCAATCCCCTGGAGGTTAGCATCAGCCATGCTGATATAGAAGACAGAATGGGTTTTCTCAGACAATTCACAGAGAGCAGTTTCAAACTTACTATTAAGACAAGAATAAATAGTTTGTTTTATTGGTTAGAGAAGATAAATTTTATTTATTTATAGAAAAAAGTGTGCTTAGAATATGAGTAAAGTGTTCTGAAGGAAGTAATCGAATATTTGGTATGTGAAAAATGGAAGATACACAACTTGAGTAGCCTAAAATAGGCAAGATGTTATTCACATGACCTGACAAGCTAACAAATTTAGGGAGATCATGTCTTGTCTGAAGATGCTATGAATTCCTGCAGTTTAATTTAACAACTGAAGAATAGATCAGCTAAAAAAATTTTAAAAATACATAAATATATTTCATTTCAGAACCTCTACTGAATGACTAATTTATGCTTTTGCTTTGTAGCCAGATTATATATATATATATATATATATATATATATATATATATATATATACACACACACACACACACACATATATGTAGTTTATTAATATTCAGGAGAAGTAACACGTGTATCACTTCAGATTTTCCAAGTAAAGCAAAGTGGTCTTGAATGTTTTGGACAGCTATAGTTTGCTATCATTTATAAAACTCAATGTGTAGTTCTTTATAATCTCAAACAAGCAATTTTAAAAGAATAACTGTTGAAAGAAAAAAATAGTTTTTTTTATTATTATTAAATTTATTAGTAAAATTAATTTTTCTAGCATTTTAAAAAGCATTGTAAAACATTTTTTGGGTAGATATAAGAAAAATGAAAACAGATTCAGTTAGCAGTCACACAAAATGACAAAATATTTAATACTTACTTCAAAATGTGATTAAAAAGAAAGTGTCACTGTTGACACATGTCACAAGTTGCTTTTTTACACAAGATTTTCTTTTACTAGAAGTTTTAATAAAGGAAAAATCTTAAGCAAACAAGCAATATTTTAGTAAAAGAATCTTTTTTAAAATTTTCATAAAAATAAAGAAAAAAGTGATTGTGTTGAGAAGAACAATTAGATTTTTTCAGTAATTACAAATAAAATATTCAGACCTGTAAAATTTATTGGATGTTTCTCTAAATTACTAAAAAAAGTAACTTATTAAACTCTGAACAGAACTAAATGTAGCTTAGTGTGGCACAAGTGTTGAGCAGCACCCAATGAGGATCCAACTATAAAATTGTTTTTGAGATTAGCTTGCAGCATATTAGATATTTCAAATGAAAGCTTAACTTTTAATCCATATTTACTTAGTAACTCCATCTGATAGTAGCTCAGATCCTGGCAATTTGTAGCAATTAGCAACATTAAATAAAGATAATGAAATTTCATCATTATCGACTACTACATAAATAAATGTCAATTTTTCCTTAATATTGGATTACCTTAAAACTTGTACAAAATATTATCCTTTGTTATAAGTCTTAAAAAAATTAACAACAAAGCTGAAGTTTTTAGACTATGTCCTCAATTAAAAAAAAAAAATTAGAGATTTTACGCTCAGTAAAAATCCAAGTAGAAATATCCCATCATGGTGATTGATGAACAGACTAACTGATGTGTTGAGACAATATGACTCCAACTGTTTATATAGAAAATACATTTGCCAGGATTCCATACTTTATACTTAAGAAGCAAGTGGCAGGACATTCAACCACCTAAAATGTACGATCATATATAGATTTACATTCTAAGAAATGCTTACTTTCTCTTTTTTCTCCCAAAAATAAAGCTATTTTCTTTACAAAAAAAAAAAAAGAAAAAATTCAGTATATATTTTTAATAATTAAGCAAAAAGAATAAATCAAAATGATATAAATATATCAAATCATTTCAACAATCACTGGACTATCTTTTTTCCCTAACTTAGTGTCAAATAGAGTAGAATTACTGCAGTTAAAAGTATATACTATCATATATATATATATATATATATATAAAATAAAAAGGCTTAAACACTAATATTCCATGGTCATAATTTATTCCATTGGAATTGTAAATACGATCCAATTCATCAGACCTACAAATTCAAAAAGAAAACAGAAAAAACAACTCCGGAAATAAAAACAGAATTTAGAGAGAGTGTAAGTATGAGGAGGAGGGAGATTAAACCTTAACAGAGAGAATTTTAGGAGAGATGGGTGGAAGGGGTTTAATTAAGAGAAAAAAATGAATGTTGACAGATGTCTAATGCATAAAGATACATTTCGTGGTGACATACACACACCATAGACAATCTAATGTTAGAATAAGAGGGAGGGAAAGACGGGGTGGGAGAGAGAGATGGGACGAAGGAAAGTAAAATTGCGTTTACAGCTTAACAAATATATATATATATATATATATATATATATATATATATATATATATATATATATATACTATCATATCAAACATGACTAAAAAGTAAATAAATTCATGTTCAAATTTTTTAAATATTTTCAAATTTCTACAAAAAATAATCTTTTCTATTAATGATTTAGCTTTAATTAAAAAAGATTAATTATAATCTGAAAACTAATTTAAAAAAATATTCTTTATGGAACCAAAACTTAATTAGACAAGGATTAATGCATAAACCTCTGGTGATTATTAAATCTTTTTGGAGTGTCCATTACTTAGAATAAGGATTTGTCTGAGACAATAACACAATTCTTAACTATTCCATTAAAGGCTTTTATGCTAAACATGAATTCTAATCACTTTCACCGTCTTGGGTATGACAAGTAAGACAATAAACTACATCCAACAACAAGGACTCTGATCAGATTTTGAGGAGCATGGAACCATCTCTTAATTGCTGGTGTTCCCAGGTCTACTTTGACCTGGGATGGTAGCACCTGTTAGGGTCCCAGCTATGGGCAAATAGTTAACCCCCAAACTGGAGTCAAAACACCATGGAAGTGTAAAAATAGGTTTTAATACCAGCAATACATTTTTGTAAAAAATTATTACCAGCAATACTTTTTTGGAAAAAATATTTCCAATACATTTAAAAAAAAGAAAAAATTACCAGCAATACATTTTTGAAAAAAGAAATATTGCCAGCAATATAAATCTTGTTGGCGTTAAATAACCCATTGAGATTAATATGCTGTAAAACAAACGAAACTAAGGACTAACTTGTTATGCCTATATTCTCAAAGTTATTTTCAAGAAAAGATTTAATTTCAAGATATTCAAGCCAGCAAAAATTACAATTGCAACAAAACTCTTTTATCATAAAATTATATCAGTGATAAGAGACCAACTCAGCTGATGATATTTATGAAGGGGAAATTTATTAAAGATATTACAATTTAGAAGTTTATTCAGACCAATACTTATTTTCCACATTTCAGTATCAGCCATTCTTCAGCTGAATTTTCCATTTATTCTTGAAGAGGGTGGAGTACCTATTTTCAAATTATGTCTTCAGTGTTTTTTTTTTCTCATTTTTAAACAGCTTAACAAATATATCAAAAAAAAATTCTAAATTTTCAGATTATTTTTTTTTTTTTTAAATTAAGCCTTACATGCAGACACTGGAGCTTGTGAAATGAGTTGGGCTGAGAACATTTCTACATCCTCTCATAAATGTTGCTTCAATACATTATCAATCAACAATGACCTGTCCTGAAAACACTATATGGAATGATGATCACATTACAATAACAATTTCCACCAAATAGGTGTCATCCAGAGCTAAAGAGTTTTACTCGTTTTTAAATGAGAGTAACATTTTTTTTTATGTGAATAAAAATCTATCAAAGTATTTACATACACAGCTTTAGATTAAATTCCAATGTTTTCATACGGATATTAAACATACAATATTATCTGATAAACTCAGCTTTGAAGCAAGTAAAAAGCCTTTGTCAATACACACACACACACAACAAAAAAACTAAATTACAACATGCAAGTACTATTGAGACTTGCTTCTGGCCAAAATTGTTATTTCTGATTTTATAAAATGTTTTAACAATCAAATCCATCAACTGATCAATAGTGATGACTAATTGATTAGCATGGATGATTATAAAACTAGCCAGTAATCAATAATTATCCTTGAAATATCAATGATTTAACCTTTAGAAATCTGCATTATTAATATTACTTCCCTTTCCACTGAATTCTTTTTCAAGGCTTCTCACTTGAAGTTAGCCTATTGTTAATTTCACTCAAACATGTTTTCTGTTGCCATAGCAGGATATGACAACACAACTATGAAATTCAAACAAATTCAAATTCAGGGATTAGAGTCACGTTCAGTGGCAGGATAAACTTTTTGCACAGAAAATGAAGAATCACACAGAGAGTGATAAAGATTAATAATGGCCACCATTCATGAAGAGCCATCAACCAATGAGATTTCATTAATAAAAATAATCAATGAGAAAACATCTTTAATTTATGGTTTGTTGTCAGATTTACAATTCAACAGAATAAAATTTAAAGTTGTTTTTTTATTTCTGCCATTTTACAATAACTCCCACCGTCCCATCAGAAATGAAAGTCAATTTTTGATCAAAGGTGAGTCTAAGAGATATAGTTTCAGTAATAATAGAAAAAGAGAAATCATGACATTTTTCAAAACAAGAGGATTTTTTAAAAAATGATAATCTTTATTAGATACATAAAAAAATGAATATCTAGTGATGTCATTGGTTATTATATACAAAGATTGACATCATACATCCTAGAGATCAACTCTATGTACATGACCATGCAGAAAATGAAATATGAGGCAATAAAAAAAGGTGCTGCTATATACAAGGGGTCTTTGAAAACACATTATTAGAGAAACAATGTGGGGAAATAAAAGAAACTTTAATCAGGCTGAGGACAAGTGGGTTCCATTTATGCATATTAAAATAAAAAGAATTTAAATGTAAAAACGAACCTGTTTAATTTAGATACCATTAGGACCCAAGACTGACATATATAACAGAATAGTGATCAGGGTTCACAGGAAATTATTAAAAATTCTAAAATAAAACTTCTTGATTTAGAGTGAATCATATAAAAGCAGGTAAAAAGGATTAAAGAGTGAGAGAATATGAGCATTGTATGAAAAATCACATCAGCTGATACACTGCTTATGCTAGAGATATCGACCATGTTGTGGCAATATAACAGTGAAGTCAACGGTAAGATGTTAGATGCAAAGGCTTGATAGATATGTTAAGAATTAACAGTTTAAGAGCCTTAAAGACCCTAAACTCTATCACCGAGTCTTGTTACAAGTGTTAACAGACATTGTGAATTTAAATAATTTCATCACATTTTACTAAAACATTTTTTTTTTTTATCTGCATTCGAAAATGTGAATTTTCAAAGCTTTAAACAGCCACTTGCAAAAACACATCAACTGCATATTACATTAAAATACTTTCAAAATTCTACAGAAAAACAATTATAATTTTGCTTACTAAAAGTTATTAATGATAAAGAAAATTATAAAGATTAAATAAAATTTTCTACATTTAAAAATTTTTCTGTATCAAAACAGAATTGCTTTGGTTTATTTGCAATAATTATTGAAAAAAATAACTGGAGATAAAGTTAAAATATGGAGAATGAAAATGAAGGCAAAAGATGTACAAAAGTGATAAGACATGGGCGAGTGAAGGAGGAAGAAATCCAATGAATAATGGTGAGCAAAGTAGAATGATTGCAACAATAACATTTACTCTGCTGAGAAATTAGAAAAAATTCACTTAGAAAACTGTCTGCAGAAGACACCACAGCAATATATTTGAAGATAATTCAGTCCAACTGTAAAAGCAGCTTGAAGGACTTTACTCTTAACTTTGCCAACAAATGGTATCAGCCAACAGAAATAGTGGATCTAAATAAAGAAACTAATCAAAATATCCTATTTCCACACTTCATGAGGAAATGAAAAAAAAAAAAAAAAACCATTGATATTGGTTGTGAGTTCAATCCTTACAGTGCTTTACAAATCCAATGACTTTAAATAGGTTTCAAAATTAAATGTAAATAGAATCAACCAAGGGAAAGAACAAAATCATTAACATCTAAAATCAGTACATTTATGTATGGAAGGTGAAAATATTAATAACTTAAGTTGAATGCAAAAATACACATTGAAAAAATAATGGAATGCCTTATATTTGTTTCAGGACCATTTTAAATTTTTGAGGTTTTGTATATTTTGAATAGTGAATTTCATTTTAATATTGGTAGATATACTTCTACTCATAAAATAACACAAGTTACTTTTTGATATAAAAGATTAACAAAAATCATTCAACTTATATTGTAATATATAAGAATAGATTAGATATGATATATTGATTGTGCATGCATTCAACTTTATGTATACATGTACAAAAGAAAAACTTAAAAGAAATGATAAGGCAGACTTATGCTGGTTACCAAAGCACTAAGATACAAAAAGAATACACATGAAAAACAAGTACCAATTTAGTTGAAAAGGTTTTTACAGATAGTGCAGAATTGTTAGTAAAGACTGCAAAAAAAAAAAAAAAAAAAAAAAATGAAAGTATAATAAAACTAAAAGATCCCAACTAAAAACTTTAAAATAGATCACTAAACAAGAAAACATAGCAATTAACCTGCCTTATATTCCACAAAAGCAGACAAGCAATTAAAAAAAATTCTGTGAAATGACAAACATTGCTGGTAAAAAAAAAACTTACAAAATAGAATAGGTCTGCTTTCCCTTGTTACTATTTAGGTTTTAGTGTCAGAAAAAAATGAAAATTGTTTCCAAAAACATCCATCTATGTTTACAAAGAGAAATGCAAACAATAACCATAATGAAGACTACTTAGCCTTTCTAAAAGAAATAAAAAGAGAAAAAGAATAATTTTACAAGTCTATGTAAAAGTTTCTGAATACTCAAAAGTACAATAACCAGTCTATGATTTTGGGGGTCACAGTGATAAGTCTAAGGTGGGTTTTAGAAGAGAAACACAGAGAGAGAGACAGGTAATAAGCTCATGGGTTCTATACATAAGCATATGCGAGTTTTATGAGAGTTCATAAGCTAATAAATGATCAATGAATGAGTGTTAGAGGATTTCCAAAATATTCAAATAGTACAGCGATAGGTATCTTGAAGGAGGCCTATGGATCACACCACCAAGCCTCAAAGAAGTGCAAGAAAATATTTTTTAAATTTTCATTATTATATAAAAAAAAAAAGTGCAATATTTTTTGCCAAAGTATTCACATTGCTATGTATATAATTTACTTACAGGTAAAGATCAACAAGATAACATTCAAGGACATTTTTTTAGATTTATACATTGTTTTCAAAAGCATGTTCATCACTTGAAGTAAATTTTGTAAGATCTTAATGAGTCAAGAAAGAATGAGTTGAAGGTGGAGTTTCAAAAACTTGGCCCAAGTCATGAGGTAGTCCTGAGGCTTTTTATTATTTTTGACTGGTTTCCAGAGGGAAAGGTTAAAAGGAAAAAAAAAATAAAATAAATTACATGATAAAATGCATCTTTTTTAGGTCAGGTTTTTTGTCGACATGAGATGTGTAATGAACTGGCCCATACGCAATGTCCCTTCAAATGTTGCATCATAAACAATGACATCTCCCTCTTGGTCCTCACTGACTTTTGAAATCTCAGGCACCTTTGCAAACACAGACACCCACTTTGGTTTTCTTAAAATTGTCTTAGTAATGCAACCAAGTTGTTCAAGAAGTTCCAGCAGTTCGCGGATGGGCATTGGTTGCAACATAGGATTGTACTTAGTAAAAATGGTCTCTTCAGAGACCCCAGGCCGGGACATAATGAAAAACATCAAAGATTCTAGCATCATCTTCAATGTGTTACGATTCAACAAACCTTCAGGTTTTTTCCAGGGTCGGCAGAGTGCACGAACCTTTTCATAAGTACTAGTTGGTGGAGGATTTCCTGACATGTCTTCATCATTAAGAGTCAACTTTGAGGGTCGTCTCCTATTGCGTTTCTTCATTGGGGAGACAGTAAAGTCTGGAGGAGGGTCCAGCATAATGACATCATCGTCTTCTCCAGCATCAGCTTCACAAGTAGATCCTGAAGAACTAGTGGACGGTTTAGGGATGTCAGGTTGAAAGCTGCTGGTATGAAATACAATTGGTGTGCTGAGGTCAAGAGATGCGCTACCTGGGTTACAGCCAGCCTCTAACTGTTTAAGAGCAGTCAGTGCAGCATCACAGTCAAGAGCAGCAGAATCAGGGACACTAGGTTCCTCAGGTGGAGGAGTACCTTTGGATGTTTCCTCTTCGGGGCTGGATAGTAAGATTACAGGTGAATCAGCATCCCCACCACCTGAATTATTCTGTGACACTCGTCCTCGCAGGTTCTTAAACGCATGTATGATCCATGGTCGACAATACCTTGTGGCCACATACCTCTCAACAGTAACTCCAACTCGAAGAATAAGCTGATAGTTCTCAAGGATTTGAACACATTTCTTTGCCTGGGGCCATCGGCTTTGAAAGTGGGTTTGTAGATCATAACGCCGTATTCCCAAGCTGTGCTCACGTTCAATAATAGCCAGTGTTTGCTGCAGTAAGCTTAATTCTCGACTTGAAATGTTGGCCTGATTCCGAAGACGGTCCCAGATAAGTGGAAGTTCTTCAAGGGTGGGTACTAGTTGGCTTAGCTTCTTATTGATTACTTTAAATACCTTTTCTGTAACCCACATGATTTCCCCCGATGACTTTGCAGCTGCTATTAAAGACGCACCTCTTTCAACACTCCCAGAAAACTTAGAAATCAACGGCTCTATCAGGCTGATGTTGACAGTACAGCTGTTGATAACAAAGTTGTCTTGCGGATTTAGTTCCCGCAAATTCAAACCAGTGATATTTTCAGATCTAGCTAGGGAGAGAGTCACACGACTTGCAGGCCCTTTGCCTTTCTTTTGTTTCAAATTATGAGAACGAATCATCAGTGGTTGAGAAGGGTCTGTACCAGCAGCCAGGGGTTCTGCTACCTGCTGGCTCTTTTGACTTGTATCTGTGCTGTCTTCAGACAATTCAGAGCTGAGAACGCTACTGCTGGCACTTGGTGCCTGTGCAGATTTTTGCAACCTTGAAACTGCAGATGTCTTTTCCACCTGAACTTGTTGCAACACTGACTCAGTAGTAACTTGTTGGTCAATGGGATCTAATTCTTTCCTCAATGAAGTCTCCTGGTCATTATAGTCATCCGATTCCTTGGAAGCAGCTACTTTGCCACGGCCAATCGGATTAGACTTGAGACCCTCGGGATCTAGCACAATGATCTTATCAGGGATCTTCACCTTAAATTTAACCAGCTGCAGGCCAACGACAGAAACCACAAATGCCGCATACCCACCCTTTGGAACATCAGACACATTACAACCTTCATCTAAAGCAGACTCCATTTTTTGGACTATTTCATAAATTTCAAGGAATAAATTTGGAGGAAATCTGCTCACAAACTGGAAGGAATATCTTTGTGACAATTGGTGTGTGTTGAGTGATGAGAAATCAGTCTGCTTCTGTTTGCTTTTGTTAATCTCTTTTTTTATACGAGTGATAATGCGGTCAGAGCGCATTTGGTCAAAAACCTGCCTCAGGAGAGTTTCGGGGTACTGGTTAAAGAGTCGGAACATTTCATGTGCACGTCCCTGCTTGTCGTTCAACGACAGATAGCTATGAATGATATTGTGTAGGACGGTAGAGTAAATATCATCAACTTTGGTGACATCTTTATGGACAGAGACTTTCTTCCACCTACCAATTTGTGTAAGGTTATAATCGGCGTGTAATTGGTCAAGAGTATCAGGTAAATCACAGCGCTGTGTGTATTTGTCTGAAGAGAATTTTGCTACAAGGCGGTTTACGAGTTCTTCAAATATTTTATCAGTTTCTGCATCTTGGACATATTTGAATCGCTTGGAGCCAAAGTCTTCAATGAGTTTGGAATCATGCAGAGCCTCTTGGAGAAAAGCAGAAACATTAAGGACTGTCTGAGGATTTTTCAAAACAAAAGAAACCCTTCGTTGACAAGCTTTGGACGTTTTATCTTTGGCCAAATCTGGATACTTTTCCATAAGCAAATCCCTGATTTTGGTCCAAGAGACAAGCATTCGACTAAGAGTATTCGGACGACGGTTTTCTAAAAAGAGGTTGGTCACTTTGCAAAGCAGTAGGAAGCTGTCCTCCTGTGGGGACCACACGACACGTTCCTTTGTCTTGCACTTCAGTGCAAGCTTGTCACGTTCATCATAAATCTCAGTTCTTTTTCGGCTTTTCTTAAGTTTAGGCGTTAGATAATTTAACAGCTTCCTCTTCTTCGGCTTTGTGACCTTTGATTTCAAGGGCATCTTGCGTTTGATCCCCTTTCCACCTTTCACCGGCTTGAAATCCTTTTTCACCACGGGAATAACTTTTTCAGACTGTTTCTGCAGATTTAGCTTATTCTTTGGCCCAAACAAACGGGGTAACCGTTGGCTGAGCGAGTTCTCTTCAAAGATGCTCGGGTGCAGTGGTGCTGCTAGCTCTCCAGTTTTTTTTTCTACCTTCTTCTCTTTGACGATGTTCTTCCACTGGCTTGTTTCTGCATACCAGAACCAATTACGAGAAATGTGGCAAAAAAGAGATGAATCAAAACCAGCAGCACCCAGACCATCTCCAGGAATGCTGCCATTATCTTGGACAGTGTCTGGAGTCTTTGCTGCCTGGGCATCTGACATGCTGTAAGCCACTGGAGCCACACCATGTTCCTCTTCCCATTTCACTTCATCAACAACTTTATGGTAACGGCCAAGTGGTGTATTGAGGGCTGTAACACGAAAACAAAACCAATAATTCTCCACCACCTCCCAAGTATCCAAATGGTAAGACTCAACAGGAAATGTTTGTCCCTCGGGAGCACGTACTTGACAGTAACCAACAACAGAACTTTTAGTGTCTACCAGCTTTGCATTTTTGTGAAGGTAAATAAATACTTGATCTTTCTCCTTGAGAACTTGATCACCAAATGAGAGCAAACCCATCTGGCAGAGTAAAGTGCATACTTCATAAAAAGTGAAGATGTAGCGTCTGGCATATAGCAATTGTTGTGTAAGCTTGAAGGGAAGGTAGGTGATTGGATAGTAACGCTTCACTGGATCAGCAAGGAATTCTTTTAAACCATTGATTTTGTATGGTAAAGAAACAATTTGACAGAAAAGCTGTAAAGGCAGAAGCAGCAGGACATCACTAATGAGGCACCAACCAGGAGGAAATCCTGAATGCTGAGGTAGTGGGGCAAGAAAACGACGCCAAGAGTTGTCATCTATATAAACAGGTGGAACACTCTCTGTAGACTTGATATTCCATTCCACATTGCCTTCAACATCCATCTCAGGCATGAGTGCCTGGGGTGTATCAATAGTTGTTGTCATTGTTATATCACCATCAGGATCGGCCTTGACTTCAAGTGACGAATCTTGGTGGATCTGATCAGTAGGAATCGGTACTCTGTTACCACCACCATATACAAGGTACCAGAGAAGTTTGTGAACAGTCTCTGCTTTGCGAAACTTTGGAAGCACTCCATATTTTCGCATGTAAGAAGGGTCATAGCGCATATCGCAGGCCTTCATTCTACTGCGATGATCGTAGAGTTTTCGTACACTGTCCTGAACACTTGGTGGCATGTCTTTCATCAAGAAGCGACTGTTATTCTTCAGTCTTTCCGATTCACGGAGGTGTTCTTTGCAAACACCAAAATATTTTAGCTTCGCCTGTTCAATAGCACTTTTCACAATTTGATGGTCGGGGCTGATACTTGGGTCACAGATGAATGTCAACTCTTTCTGTTTATTATCAGTTTTTATGATGGTCTTGATCAAACGGATCTGGCCATTTTTTTGCAAACGGCGCAAAATCCGATCCACAGACTTCTTATCAATCTGAGTAGACTCCCCCATTGCCTTCTCTTTATTTAGAATCATATTCTTCAATGCAAAGGTCTTGTCAACAAGTTTTGCTTCTTGAACAGCTTCAATGATCCAGTTGGTTCTCTGCAAGACTTTGGATGTCAGTCGTGGTTTCTTTGTGTCATCTTCTTCTGACATCATTGAATCACTGTAGGTAACACTTGCATCCATTGTGAGAGAAGAGTTGCCACTTTGCTGACCTGAAGTTTGTGATACAGCTGAATTTGCAGTGTTACCCTGTGCATCTTGTTGGTTAGATGCAGTCTTTGTTGGAAGTTTGGGGGCAGATTTAATTAACTGCTGCATCTTATGCTTCTCTTTCTCCAAGTCCATGTGCAGTTTGCTGGTGTTGGCATATTTATAAGATATGTACATGGCTTTACGCTGCCGACCAACATCCAGCATGACAGAATGTGAAGCTTTGGTTCGAGTGAGATATTTGAGAACACTGCGGCTCTCAAACGTAGAAATGTTCATACATTTCATCATGTCTTTCAGAGACATACCACCAGGTCCTGCACACTCCAGCAAATCATTTGCTTGCTGAATAAATGGACGTTCCCACAGGAGATTAATCGGATCAATCTTGTTCTTTTTATCATCACTATTCTTGACCACATCTTCATCACCATCTTCATCACTTTCAATATCTTCCTCATCATCATCCTCTTCCACGCCGTACTCACGGATCATCTGGATAACTCGGACAGTCTTCTCCTTATTTTTCTTGTTTTTGGAACTCTCAATGACCTCCATATCCGGGTAGACGTCTCTATAGTTTAAGCTGAAAATCCGCACATACCGAGTAGAGGCCCGACACAGCTTCTTGAAGGACTGGTCATCAATTCCAATTTCTTCCTTGCAGATTGCTACCTCTTCCTGGTGATTATATTTTGTCTTCAAGTAGCTGGTAAGACGTTCCAAGAGAACCATGTAGCGAGACTTCTTTTCTGAGTAAAAACGAGGCAGGTGTAACAGCCGAGTGTGCACTTGTTTGTTGACAACATTAGTCATTGCAAACACTTGTTTGCGGACCAATGACAACCGAATGAGTAGCTTGAAATAGTGAAACATCAGTTTTGGAGAGTCACTGAACACAGCCAAGCTGTTATGACCACGAGTCAGTTCGCCAATATAACGTGAACGCCCAATTCTCTCCAAGATGCAGTAGGGCAAATCAAGAAGCCGCATGTTTGGATCTCTGTCAGGTCCAAAAAGAGACATGCTGCGTAAATTTTGAGAAGCCACAATAACCAGCTTCTCGCCCCAAAGATTTTCGGCCTCTTCCAGTGAGCATATCAGTTGGTAGTCAGCAGTTCGAATTTGATGGGTGATATTCACCCGAGTATTGTAAGTCAAACATGATCCTTGTACATTTGGATCATCCTTCACAACTTCTATAGGGTAGCAGTCAACAATTTTAGCTGCTTCAATCCACTGACCTGTGGCTGGGTCTTGGTAATCAAAGTGGTTGATGGTGACAAGTGGCAGGCGAGGGGATGGAAGTTCATAGAATTCAATCTGGTCTTGAACTACGATAATGTTCCAAACATAATGTTTAGATTTGTCATCTATTTTGAAAGCAAAGTTGGGCCGGTCTTTAAGTCGTATCCATAATGTGTTTAGAGTTGTCCCATCCAACCCTTCTAAAGCCACTTCATCCAAGATGTCCCCAACAAAGTCAGCAGCCATGTGGGAAACCTAAAAACCAACAAGTGAAATGAAATTAGACATTGAGTCATTGAGTCAGTACAACAGGAGGGAAGGGTGCTTAAAGGGGCCATTTTAAGAAATAATGTAGCCTTCTAACATTGAAATACAAAACTGTATGCATTAACAGATGAATGGTCATAGAGCAAATGTTTTTATAATGCCAAAGACTACTCTCTAAAATGAAAGCACATTATATATCAATAGAAATACAACATATACACAAACTGAGTAACCCATGTGCATACATTAACAGATATATATATATATATATATATATATATATATATATATAAAGGAACATAATATAATAACCATACTAAAAATAAAAGTAACAATCTTAAAAGATATGGCAATAATATTTGTACCATGTTTAATAAAAAGATGGTCATGGCTGTTATCTTTATTGGGATAGAGGCATCTGATAAAGTGGCTTGAATAAGGTAAAGAAAAACTTAATTCTTAGTCTTAACCAGCTATGGGCAGACATGATTGTCCACCAATAATAAAAAGCAAAATCCCTTCAGAAGCTTTCACTGCCAAGGAAAAGTTTCATTCTTTATAAAAACTACACAATTTACATCACTTGAACTGTTGTCCTCATCTTTATTGCCATATTCAATCTGAATGATTGAAATAATTACCTCATCTCAGAAATATAGACAAACTATACAATTGTAGTATTTAAGAAATAATGACAAATCAGAATTTCTATTTAAAAGAGAATATTCGAGTAAAGGTTATTATTAAGATTATAAATTTAAAACCAAACATGAAGTTTAACAAAAATATTCATCATGACATAAGCAATAACATTCCCTATATAATATTCTTAGATATTAATCAATTATTTTCATTTGAAAAAAAAAATTATACAGGATTTTTGGAAATCAAAACTTCATTTGAAGTAATAATACAATCTCAAGTAATAAAACATAACAGATCAGCTTATTTCTTTACACTAATATAGTTGTAAATGTTACTTGCCTTATAAGGAGTCAATACTTTCCATTGCAAGTAGACTTTATTTAAAAAAAAAAAAATTCTTTTCATAAAAGCTAAAAATTACCAGAAGTTCATCTGCTTATTTTTGGCATTTTCTTGTCTGAAAACCAAATGGCATTTCCAATGTGCAAATTTTAATTCTTAATCTACTGCGATATAAAAAACCAGGTTTAGGGGAAGTTTTGACACAACATGCTCTTATAAAAATTTTTCTTGTATTATTTTTAAAAAGTTTTCAAAACCTCCAAAGTAAGCTTTCAGTGAGGTTATTAAGTGGACAAATAAACTTTTGAAACAATGCAACATGGCAGGAAAAAAAAAAAAAAAAGAAATGAAAATGTATCCACCTTTTCAAGTTATTCTCAATGCTGCAGTTGTATAAATTGTCCTTAGATTAATTATTATGAAATTAAGTAATGATAATGGTTAGCAGTAAGAAATAATGAATAATGATAAAATCTAATAATTATGAAAATATTTAAGTATATAAACAACATAAACATTATTTGGAAACAGAGTGACTTCCAAATACAAAATGAGAGCCTCTAAATAAAACTTGATGATCTAATCAATTAGTGCAACTGAATTCTAATGATGAACTTGAAATGAAATTCAACATGGAAAAAGCAAAGAAGAATTTTCAATTTAGCAATCCAACTTCTATGAAGAATTGTTAATATTTGTACATCAACACTTATATGACTTGTGTTATCCTAAGAATTAGCTGCTTTTGATTAATACAAATATATTTATAATAATTCTCGAGAAAACGTCAGGTTTCTTTTTTAGTTTTATTCTCAAAGAATTTACATGCACCAAATAAAGTTGTACAAGCAAAATGCCAAAGTTATATAATGCAAATTTTTGAAATTATAAAAACAAATATATAAATTATGTTGGGAAATAACTGAAGCAACAGTTACCAACTGTAGAATTCAAATAATTCACCTATGATAACCAACTAACATTTTATGAAGAAAAAAAAATACTTAAACTGTTTGATTTCCATCAACTTTAGATTTATGTTAAAAATTTAAAAACAGAATAGAATCATTGAATTCTATTTAAAAAGAAAAATCATAGCTCAAGTTATACATATCTTATAAATTACAAGGTTTTGTTACACAACAAGTTGCTATTATATAATAATGTTCAATTAAAATATACATGACCATCAACAGTTCAATGTACTAGTGTTTATAGATTTAACCAAACTTCGTTACAAGGAATAAGCAAAGAAATTTAGAAATTATTCCCAAAATCAAGAATATTGTACAATTTTTCTTTATTTTAAGAGGAAAATGTTTGTTTTATGCTAAATCTGTTGTTGGTTCAACTCTCTTCATGTCAAATTTAATCTAGTGCTTTGTATATTGTTTGGTCTAACGGAAAATGAACTGGATTAGATTTGACATAAAATAAATCAGAACACTAACTCTTAGAAAGAAAAAAGAAAAACAGTGAAGATAGATAAAAAAAAAAAAATTAATATTAAACAACTCAGTTTTGCAAAAATAAGTGTACATTACAAGAAAAATAAAAAATAGTTTTAATGTTCCATAATTCAATACAAAAAAAGAATACATTTTATTAATTTGCAAAAAAAAAAAAAAAAAAAAAAAAAATCACACCCATACAAATGTACTAAATAAGCTTTATCAGATCACAGTATAAAATCTGATGGTAACATAGTAAAAAAAAAAAAGTCAGTTAATTAAGAAAATAATATTCATTGTTTACAACATTGGATGGCATTTATATTTTAACTTCATTAGAAAAATCACTTTTAATCCTGTTCTGGCAACTGTCATATAAGTGGGATAGTTTTTGTTTATTAATTCAAAAACTAAAGATGGAAGAAAATAAGCAACACTTTGAGATTATGAGTTTTTTTTGGAGGGGGGTAAGAAAAGTAAAAATGCAACTCAAAGAAAAAAGATTTGTGTATTTTATTAAGATGTCATATTGTGAATGATCAAACATGTCAAGTGTTTTTTTTATGGAATCTTGAACTTCTTATTAAATGAAGACACTACTTGAAAATAATCAAGACATGAGATAATCAATCTAAAATTACTTGCACCAGTTTCATTATGTTAGTCACTTTGTGGCTTCATATAAGTAAAATAAACTAAATTACCAGATTACATTTGTGTGAGCAATTCTCAATGTAAATGTTATGTTCCACTGTGTGACAGGCAATGAAAAGCAAATACTTTACAACAAAGTAGTGCAGAAGAGATCATGAGACAAGAAAAATGAAGTTGCACTAACTGTATCAAATTCAGATCTTCATTTAAATTGAGTGATACTATGTATGCAATAGGGCTAAAAGGGAATCCTTGACAAGGAATTCCTTTCAGAGGACCAAACAATTTATTACAAAAACACATTATTCCATCAATATAATGCGAGAACACGTTTCTCTGATGAACAGGCAAAAATTCTCTGAGAATTTTGGGCTTGTCTATATCTTCACCAGATATTGTACCTTACCATTCATGCTGATCTTTACAGAATCCCCTTCATGAAAATAATTAAATCCATTGGAATACTGTAAAATGACACCTAGAGCAGTTGTTTGATAAAAAAACACCTAAGTTCTTAGACTGGGAGAATTGAATTCTAAAGTTAGTTTCAGAATCGCAAAGTGAATCAAAATGGTAAATATGTTGGCCAATAAAGTTAATGTGAACAAAACACAAATTTATTTTTTTTGTTTTTAATAAAAACCAAATTATTAACATGTTTGGACAACCGCAATAAAAAAAATTAAGTGGAGTATTTCTGCTTTAAATATCCAGACATGTTTAACTTCCTTCAGGTGCAAAAAGATAATACTACCTTGATTTTTTTTCCAAATAGAATTTTAAACAGAAATATACAAGATCTTTTTTTGCAAACAAGTTATATAATTGAAACATTTTTTAAGTTCTTTTGTTTTAATAGTTTGATATCGATCCCCTAATTAATTTATTATTTTTCTAGTTTATACTGACGCGTCAAATATAATCCATTTAAAATTACAATTATGAAATCGAGCATACTTTAATAGTTTAGTGTTCCATATCCTTTATACCACACGACGTGTGGCATAATTTTTTTTAAAAAAAAAAGACGATATTTTAATACCTGGCTATTGCTAAAAAAAAAAAAAAAAAAAAAAACGGCCATGTTTGCCTACGAATACGCATGCGTGGTTTTTGTTTTTATTTTTTCATGTTTAAAACCTATATTAGAGTATTTGTTGGGACAAATTAAAATAAAAAAGGTTCTGAACACGGATTATACATACAATTCCATAATTTTAAAGATATTTGAAGTGCCTAAACGAGAAAATTACCTTTTGCTTTAAGTGTGTGGCCCAAGTGGAATATTAAGTAAGTAAATAACAACGAAAGTTTAACGAACCGATAGACCTTCGGAAAAAAATAAAAACGATAATTAAAGATTTAAGTATCGATTCATCTGATCTAACATTATTCATATGCGTTTTAATTTCAGTTATATAATAGTTTACAAATACGTAAAAAAAAAAAAAAAACCTACTAAAAGGAGATTAGGAGGTTCGAAACCTAAACCATAAACCAGCCATGTTTGTTTTTAAAACAGCCACAATATTAAGCAAGCAAGCAGCTCAAATAATAAACAATGTTTTAAGGAAATGAATAATACAAGTAAGATTTGAAACAAAAATTTAAAGGGTTCTCAAAAGGCTTTAAATATTTGGGTATATTTCTTGATTCATCCTTTAAGTTTAACATAAAACAATCGCTAAGGAGACGTGGTTTAATGGACACTCAAGAAAATTGACCCATGAGAGTTGAAGAAATTGTGTACGATAGAAATGGTGAATAGAATATTAATTATTCTTATAGTCTTTGTTTAATGAATAATAAATACAAATGGATGGAAAAGAAATGAAAACATTCCATCAAAATTAAATACAAACTTACGGAATGTCCGTGGATGAAGCTATAGCATTAGCTTAAATGCCGGGTCGGTTTTTACAATGCTTGCATAGATGTAGGGCCGCTTACTTACTTGGAAATAATTGGACATTGGAGAAACCGATGCAAAAATGCATAAATTGTACATATAAAAATTACCCTTTTAAACCAAAATAAAAACGTTTATATTATAAGTTATTTTGTATTATAGGGATCAAATTTTAATCTCAAAGCAACCGGGTTATACATAATAAATTTTTAATTGACAATGCTATGAATTGCAAATTCATTCAGAGTCGCTAACAACACTGAAAAATAAAACGTAATTCAAGTGCAATTGTTTAAAAGAAAAATGTTTTTTATGGATATCATTACATATTGATTTTAATTCAAAAGAATACGCTTTAATCTTTCACCAAATATAAGAAAATAACATTTTTTAAAAGTTCTTTATTTTCGTTGGTGAATCAAAAATTACAGGTTATCTCCCTTGAAGGAGGTGCTGAGCAATCTCAAGACAAACGTGGAACCGATTTTGTGAACATTTCTCTGGGAAAAGCACGAAAATCGAATAAAAACAACAGCGAACACGTACGTAATCCTTTTTTAAGTTAAAAAAAATGAATTTCCACAAATAGAATTTTAAATTACTAAAACTGTATTCTAAATTTTGAGAATTATCAAAGCCAGAATGAATGACAATTTACCTAAAAAGATTTTGAAAGCGCTGAAGTAAAAAAAAAAAATGAAATTCTTTGGTTCTTTCTTTACTCTTAGTTTTGCTTAAAATCAAATCGTTGTTTTTTGTTCTAAATTGTTGATTTTATTTAAAGCTTTCAATGTTAAAATGCGTTTTGCTTTAATGGATAAGGCATTTTTAAGTTATACTTTATCTGATCCAAAGTAAAAAAAAAAAAAAAAAGCAGATGGTCTGCGAGTTTTATCTTCATTGCTTATCAGCCGGTCTGTCAGCAAAAAAAAATAAATAAATAAAAAAGCCTAGAGACTTCCATTCAAAGTTTCATTTTTCATTTCATTTACTTTTCATTTCAATTCTATGTTGAATATTAAACCTTTTTTTCTAAATTTCTGATTCGCCTTTATTATCACCACCACCACCATCATCATTATTATTATTATTCGTTTTCTGCTTTTTGTGTGTGTGTGCTCCACTAAAAAACAACGATTTCTTCACCGAGATTTTCTCAAATAAAAAAAAAATTGTAAAATCAACAAACAAGAAAATGTATTGTAATCTGTTAAAATAATTCAAGTAAAATTAATTTTATTTACTGATAAAACTCGTAAATAAAATGAAACTAGTTTTTTTCTTTTAAGAAAATAAATGCAAAAAGTTACTACGTTTTTACTTTTTTTACCTTTTTTTTTTTAATTCATTTTTTTCGGGTAGACCATCATCTGTTGTATATTTTACGTTATATCTGCAATTAAATACTTATATAATCATATAATCCATTTAAAAACTAGTCAACATTTAAGCTACAATCAAACAAAAAAACAAAAACGTAATTAAATTCATTCATAAAAAAAAAGTTAAACGATAATTTCGTTCAAAACTACCTACAAAAAATTTTCTAAGGAAAAGGTCTATAATTCTCTTTGAATTTATTTTGCAATTTTAAAATTAAACAATTGCTTATTTTTCCCTATAATTTTTTATTTTTTTGATGATTTTTAGTACAATACGGAAATTGACTTTCAGAACCTCTCACTGAATGAAAACGTGACTTCAGACTTTGCTTGAAAACTATTTTCATTCAAAGATGTGCATTTTTTATGATTTTATTAAGTTTCTTTTAGTTTCAAGCAAATCAGGAAGAAAATCTTACTCTGTAATCCTCTACCTCGAGTGGCTCTTGGGCTTTGTACAGGGTGAACAATAACATCATTGTAAAAAAAAAATATATATTTTTTTTTTTTTTTTTTTTTTTTTTTCAGACCAAATGTAATTTTGTGCTTTTGAAAAAAACAGCAACTGCTTTACTTTTGCTTTCAAGACAATCCAAGTACATTACACAACACAACAAGGAATTAGTGGTGATGACAACTGAATTATTTTTAAATTCTTCAGTTTTAGTGTCCCAAACGTTTTTGCACAACAAATGCTGAACTAATTCTATTAAATTGCTTTACATAACCTCACATTCTGAGTGCACATTTCCACGCATAAATAAAAAATGAAAATGTAATTCAACTTCTGTGAGTATGAAATGAGAATAAATAAAACAATTTTAAAATGGTATGAAACTTCTCTTTTTTTCAGAGATGAAAAGTGTTGCATCAGAAATTAAATGAAAAATGTAATAGATTTGTAACAAAACAAAAAAAGTATGTAAATTGTAATGTGTGTTCTTATTGATTATATATTGCATTTTACTATTAATTTATAATGATCAGTTAACTAAAAATCTGTAGTAATTAATTATTCTAAGGGTTAAAGGACACTTGCAACAGAGACAATCATTCTTTCATATGCCATGTCCTTTCAAAAGGTGGGCAATCATAGATCTTTAACATCATTTTGTAACTTTACTTACGCCTCTTCTTATGCCCCCTCCCACCTTGTTTGGCCTTCCAGTCCCTCAAAAGCATCAAATCAAGCAGATTATTTGTTGTTTTTTCCCTGCTCCTCTTCTTACCTTCAATGTCCTACAAGTGTTAAATTCTCCAAATCCTTATTATGTGTCTCACAAATTTCAGCTGTCTCTCTCAGCAGCAGTTTCCATTTAGTTTTTTTATTCTCCTTAAAACTTCCTCCTCACTCACATACTCTGTCCATGATATTCTTGGTATTTCTTCATCTGTGAAGAATGTCGAGGAAATGATATTCTCACTTATTCTCTTTCCTCTTTTACAACTCTGGCTATAAGATGTAATCACCTGTGGGGGGAAAGGTATCCCCCTCACTGGGACACATTCATTTTTATTGTCTTAATTTTCTTTCATGACTTTTTGTACTCTTTTAGACACGTGTCTATCACATAGGCCTACACAAACTTCATACACACAAACACATATTCTCTAGTTTAAATGTTTTCTTTGTAATTAGTATTTAAACGTATTCCTTGTTTATTGCAATTGTAGTACTTTTGTTTTGTTAATACGTGCATTGTCATTTGTTTTATATTGTTTTGTGTTACACATTTATTACTCGGAGTCACATTCAAGTCCGCAATAATTGTTATGGAAAAAATATGCTTAGAGACACATGTTTTCTAGATAAATACAACAAGTATTTGTCTAGTATTACCTACCATGCGGATAGGAACAGTACACCAGCTTATTTCTTTACAAAGAAAAAATTATTACGTATTATGTTTTCATAAATGAAGCTTTTTTTTTTTTTTTTTTTTTTTTTTTCATTAATTCCCAAAGACTGCAACTGAAAGAGATTAAATACTTTTGAACAATAAAAAAGTATTAAAAAATTAAAATCTTCAGACACACTGGGTTGTAGATTAATATTCTTTCGTTTTTTTTATTATTATTTCATTTAGATTCCTCGACTAGTTTCGGCCAAATGGCCATCATCGGAAGGAGAAATATTTCTGCTTGCTGGTAGCAGTAAACTACAGAAATGAATGTCTTGCTGGAGAAAATGAACTTTTGTCTGTAGTTTTCATTTGTTTTTTTTTATTTTGTTTATCTTTTTAACATGAATCTCTTAACATTCCTTGTGTTGGTCAAACAGTCTCTTTTAAGTTGTTATTTGAGATAAGAGCTGGATGGATCTATGCTTCTCTGAATTCCCGTGATCATTTTGACAGTTTTATTGCTCCTGGAGAGGGGATGTGTCTCTGTTTAGTGTTTGTGTGTGTGTGTTATTTGGTTCTTAGGGAGTGAGTGAGTATGATATGTGTAAGCGTGTGTATTGCTGTGGGTGTGTGTTATCATTTGGCTCATTAGGGTGTGAGTGAGTATGATGTGTGTATAAGTGTGAGGCCTCCACATCTCCGTAAGCATGTCTGTCTTGTGTGGGTGAGACATGTGGGTAGGTTTTGATTTGTTGAGTTATATATTAGTACTATCTATATTGTTAAATTTATGGTTTAGCCCGGCTGGATATTGTGTTTTTAGACGTTGTATCCACTTATTTTCATGGGACTCTAAAATCTTTCTAATGTTATCTGCTCTGAACTTTTCTATTCTCTCAATTATAGTGAATTTGGCATGGGTTTTGAAATCGTGTTTTTCCAGGTGGAAATGTTGTTCTACAGGTAATAATTTTTCATGGGGAGTCGATTTAATTGGATTTTTGATAATTATTAATTCTGTAGTGAAAGGGCCATTCAGATTTTCCTACATATTGTTTCTGGCATAGTGTGCATTCTAGGAGGTAAATTATGTTATCTACAGTTAGAATCGTGGTAGATTTTGAAAGTAGATTTAGTGATTGAGCTAGTGAATGAATTTGTGTGTTTAATATGGTTGCAACATAAACTTCTTTTGTTGCTACATGGTTGGGAAAATCCTGTTGTTTTTGTTCTTAGTTTATTACAGATTACCTTGTCCCCCTGAAATGTGGTTACTACCTATGATTTCTTTTAGGTTCTTAGGTCTACGATATGCAAGAAGGCCGGGTTCTTTAAACAATTTTTTTAGGTCTGGTTTGAGATGTAGTATTTCCCAGTAACGTTTAATTATTTGGGATAATGGAGGCAGAGTGGGGTTGAAAGTGGTTACTAGAGGGATGTGGCTAGATTTATTTTTAATCTTGTACATTAGAGTGTCTTCTCTAGGTGTGGAAATTGCTTTATTTATTTGTTCCCTGATTAGGTGTTGTTTATAGCCACGTGTTGTGAATTGATGCACCAGATTTTCAATGTGTTTATTTAATTCTTCATTGTTGGAACATATCCTTCTGAGTCTAAGTGCTTGTGAATAGGGAAGGTTCTCTTAAGGTTTTTGGGTGGGAAGACTTAAAGTGTAGATAGTTGTGGGTGTCGGTGATTTTAGTGTGTAGTGTCGTTTGTAGTTTCCTGTTTTCATCTATGTAAATGCGGGTGTCTAAAAATGTTACTGATGTTGTGGATTTTTCATAGTCAAACTTAATTGAGTCATGCACTGTGTTTAGGGTCATAAGGAATTGGGTAAGTTTGTCATCACCACCCATGTATACAAAGAATATATCATTGATATATCCTGCATAGAATACGCAGTCGCTACCAATGATTGGATAGATATGGGTCTCCTCAAATATTCCCATGAATATTGTAGCATATGATGGAGCTGCAATGGTGCCCATGGCACAACCTCTGATTTGAAGGTAGTGTGCTCCATTGAAGTTAAAAGTATTCAATGTAAGGACATGCTCCATGAGTTTTATGATGACTTCTGTGGGGCGGGGGTCTTGTTTTCTTCTTTTAGTAAGTGCTTTCTGAAGGGCGGTTAGCCCTTCGATGTGTTTAATGTTTGAATAGAGTGACCTAACGTCCATAGTCACTAGAATAGCATTCTCTGGAACTGTTTGTATGTGATTAATTTTGTTCAGTAGATCTGTTGTGTCTCTGGTGTAGGATTTTACTTCCTTAGCTAGCAGTTGTATGTAATGGTCTATGTATTTGGAATAT